TCACAGACCACACCAGCTTCTGCCACAATAAATAATGATCATAATAATAAATCACAGACCACACCAGCTTCTGCCACAATAAATAATTATCATAATAATAAATCACAGACCACACCAGCTTCTGCCACAATAAATAATTATCATAATAATAAATCACAGACCACACCAGCTTCTGCCACAACAAATAATTATCATAATAATAAATCACGAACCACACCAGCTTCTGCCACAATAAATAATGATCATAATAATAAATCACAGACCACACCAGCTTCTGCCACAATAAATAATGATCATAATAATAAATCACAGACCACACCAGCTTCTGCCACAATAAATAATGATCATAATAATAAATCACAGACCACACCAGCTTCTGCCACAATAAATAATTATAATAATAATAAATCACGAACCACACCAGCTTCTGCCACAATAAATAATGATCATAATAATAAATCACAGACCACACCAGCTTCTGCCACAATAAATAATGATCATAATAATAAATCACAGACCACACCAGCTTCTGCCACAACAAATAATTATCATAATAATAAATCACGAACCACACCAGCTTCTGCCACAACAAATAATTATCATAATAATAAATCACAGACCACACCAGCTTCTGCCACAATAAATAATTATCATAATAATAAATCACAGACCACACCAGCTTCTGCCACAATAAATAATGATCATAATAATAAATCACAGACCACACCAGCTTCTGCCACAATAAATAATGATCATAATAATAAATCACAGACCACACCAGCTTCTGCCACAACAAATAATTATCATAATAATAAATCACGAACCACACCAGCTTCTGCCACAATAAATAATGATCATAATAATAAATCACAGACCACACCAGCTTCTGCCACAATAAATAATGATCATAATAATAAATCACAGACCACACCAGCTTCTGCCACAATAAATAATGATCATAATAATAAATCACAGACCACACCAGCTTCTGCCACAATAAATAATTATAATAATAATAAATCACGAACCACACCAGCTTCTGCCACAATAAATAATTATCATAATAATAAATCACAGACCACACCAGCTTCTGCCACAATAAATAATGATCATAATAATAAATCACAGACCACACCAGCTTCTGCCACAACAAATAATGATCATAATAATAAATCACAGACCACACCAGCTTCTGCCACAATAAATAATGATCATAATAATAAATCACAGACCACACCAGCTTCTGCCACAATAAATAATGATCATAATAATAAATCACAGACCACACCAGCTTCTGCCACAATAAATAATGATCATAATAATAAATCACAGACCACACCAGCTTCTGCCACAATAAATAATGATCATAATAATAAATCACAGACCACACCAGCTTCTGCCACAATAAATAATGATCATAATAATAAATCACAGACCACACCAGCTTCTGCCACAACAAATAATTATCATAATAATAAATCACGAACCACACCAGCTTCTGCCACAATAAATAATGATCATAATAATAAATCACAGACCACACCAGCTTCTGCCACAATAAATAATTATCATAATAATAAATCACAGACCACACCAGCTTCTGCCACAATAAATAATTATAATAATAATAAATCACGAACCACACCAGCTTCTGCCACAATAAATAATTATCATAATAATAAATCACAGACCACACCAGCTTCTGCCACAATAAATAATTATCATAATAATAAATCACAGACCACACCAGCTTCTGCCACAATAAATAATTATCATAATAATAAATCACAGACCACACCAGCTTCTGCCACAATAAATAATTATAATAATAATAAATCACGAACCACACCAGCTTCTGCCACAATAAATAATTATAATAATAATAAATCACAGACCACACCAGCTTCTGCCACAATAAATAATTATCATAATAATAAATCACAGACCACACCAGCTTCTGCCACAATAAATAATTATAATAATAATAAATCACAGACCACACCAGCTTCTGCCACAATAAATAATTATCATAATAATAAATCACAGACCACACCAGCTTCTGCCACAATAAATAATTATCATAATAATAAATCACAGACCACACCAGCTTCTGCCACAATAAATAATTATAATAATAATAAATCACAGACCACACCAGCTTCTGCCACAATAAATAATGATCATAATAATAAATCACAGACCACACCAGCTTCTGCCACAATAAATAATTATAATAATAATAAATCACGAACCACACCAGCTTCTGCCACAATAAATAATGATCATAATAATAAATCACAGACCACACCAGCTTCTGCCACAATAAATAATGATCATAATAATAAATCACAGACCACACCAGCTTCTGCCACAACAAATAATTATCATAATAATAAATCACGAACCACACCAGCTTCTGCCACAACAAATAATTATCATAATAATAAATCACAGACCACACCAGCTTCTGCCACAATAAATAATTATCATAATAATAAATCACAGACCACACCAGCTTCTGCCACAATAAATAATGATCATAATAATAAATCACAGACCACACCAGCTTCTGCCACAACAAATAATGATCATAATAATAAATCACGAACCACACCAGCTTCTGCCACAATAAATAATGATCATAATAATAAATCACAGACCACACCAGCTTCTGCCACAATAAATAATGATCATAATAATAAATCACAGACCACACCAGCTTCTGCCACAATAAATAATGATCATAATAATAAATCACAGACCACACCAGCTTCTGCCACAATAAATAATTATAATAATAATAAATCACGAACCACACCAGCTTCTGCCACAATAAATAATTATCATAATAATAAATCACAGACCACACCAGCTTCTGCCACAATAAATAATGATCATAATAATAAATCACAGACCACACCAGCTTCTGCCACAACAAATAATGATCATAATAATAAATCACAGACCACACCAGCTTCTGCCACAATAAATAATGATCATAATAATAAATCACAGACCACACCAGCTTCTGCCACAATAAATAATGATCATAATAATAAATCACAGACCACACCAGCTTCTGCCACAATAAATAATGATCATAATAATAAATCACAGACCACACCAGCTTCTGCCACAATAAATAATGATCATAATAATAAATCACAGACCACACCAGCTTCTGCCACAATAAATAATGATCATAATAATAAATCACAGACCACACCAGCTTCTGCCACAACAAATAATTATCATAATAATAAATCACGAACCACACCAGCTTCTGCCACAATAAATAATGATCATAATAATAAATCACAGACCACACCAGCTTCTGCCACAATAAATAATTATCATAATAATAAATCACAGACCACACCAGCTTCTGCCACAATAAATAATTATAATAATAATAAATCACGAACCACACCAGCTTCTGCCACAATAAATAATTATCATAATAATAAATCACAGACCACACCAGCTTCTGCCACAATAAATAATTATCATAATAATAAATCACAGACCACACCAGCTTCTGCCACAATAAATAATTATCATAATAATAAATCACAGACCACACCAGCTTCTGCCACAATAAATAATTATAATAATAATAAATCACGAACCACACCAGCTTCTGCCACAATAAATAATGATCATAATAATAAATCACAGACCACACCAGCTTCTGCCACAATAAATAATGATCATAATAATAAATCACAGACCACACCAGCTTCTGCCACAATAAATAATGATCATAATAATAAATCACAGACCACACCAGCTTCTGCCACAATAAATAATGATCATAATAATAAATCACAGACCACACCAGCTTCTGCCACAATAAATAATGATCATAATAATACATCACGAACCACACCAGCTTCTGCCACAATAAATAATGATCATAATAATAAATCACAGACCACACCAGCTTCTGCCACAATAAATAATTATCATAATAATAAATCACAGACCACACCAGCTTCTGTCACAATAAAATATGATCATAATAATAAATCACAGACCACACCAGCTTCTGCCACAATAAATAATGATCATAATAATAAATCACACACAAAGTTGTGAACATTTTAATTTCCTTTTAGAACTATTTCTGTTGAGAGTTTTAATGTTTAAAACCTGTTAGATTGTTACTGACATGGTGGCGCAGGAGTTAAGTGCTTGCCCCGTAATTGGAAGGTTGCAGGTTCGCTCAGTTTGCCGCTGTCGTTGTGTCCTTGGGCAAGACACTTAACCCCCTTGTCTGCTGGTGGTGGTCGGAGGGACCAGTTGCGCCAGTGCTCTGCAGCCTCACCTCCGTCAGTGCGACCCAGGTCAGCTGTGGCGACATTGTAGCTCATCCCCACCAGTGTGTGAATGTGTGTGTGAATGGGTGAATGACTGATTGTGTTGTAAAGCGCCTTGGGGGGTCCCAGGACTCTACAAGGCGCTATATCAAATACAGGCCATTTACCATTTTATCATGACAGCAGTTACATTTAAGTTTCACTTCCTGTTCTGCCTGAATGCTGCTGCAGCATGGAGGTGTAGTTCTCGGTCATCCTGGACATGATCATCCTGAGAGTTTTAGCTGAAAACAGCTGCACGTCTCTGGATGTGTTGGAGACATTTTCAGAGGCTTCTTCCAGACTTTGTTTGTGGTCAGAAACAAACACACTGGTTGTGCTGCAAGTCTTTTCTTTTTTCTTCAAAACCTTGTCTAAATGAAGGTGATGTTGTTGTTCATAATTAAAATTCATGTTGAAGTTAAGATTATTTCATCAAGTAGGACCTGTGGTTAGCTGGCTCATTTAAAACATGTCATGTCTTGAAAGAATCGGAATCGGGAAACGATAGGAACCGGAATCGAAACGAGGAATTGGAATCGGAATCGTTCAAAATTAAACGATGCCCAGCCCTAACTAAAATACATCATTAATGAGAGGTATTTTCTGCTTTTTGCCATTACAGCATGCTGACACACTTACATCATCAGGTTTAGTTGCCTGGCTCTGCAGAGCCTTCTGCAGATCCTCAACCTGTTGCTGCAGCTCGCCGACTCGCTCCCGGCTCAGTCTAAAGAAACAGAGAAAAGGATGACATGCAGGACACATTTGACCCGACGTGAATTTAAAAGAAGAACACAAACGCCATCAACCTGTTGTCCGTTTCCAGGTTACTGCGGGTCTTATCAGCTTCCTCCAGCTGAGCCTGCAGAGCAGCGATTCTCTCCCGTTCAGATTCTTCCTGCTGCACCCTCAGCATCTTATTCTCGTGCTGCAGCCTGATGAACTTTTCTCTGCACAACCACACAAAGTTAGAGCTCACACTCACCCACACCCACACACACACACACCCACACACACACACATACACAACTATAGCAGAAAACAGACTGAAAGGAACCTGTATTCAATAGGTAATAACTCTGCTGCCAGGTTTTCGTGGCTAGGGCTGTTAGAGGGAAACATCCCTGTAATGAAAACAAAAGAGGTGTGAAGTAAATAGCATTAAAAATAAGCAGCATCACAGCTGTTTTATGATTATGTGAGGAGGTACCTGCTTGAGAGAACTGGCGCTCCTGAGCCTGAGTGCATCGAAGCTCCTCGTTGATTTCTTTCAGAGACTCTCTCTCGATGATGATCCTCTAATGGGGCAAATAAAAAAAGACGATTGAGAGTTTTATCAGAGGTTAAAAAAGAACATTGCTGATGCATTTCAAAAGCTGCTAGACCTCTTTTTCTTTCATCACAGTTTCATGTTTTTCCTCTAATTTTTTCATCTCAAAAGCCATGGTGTCTGCTCTCCTCGTCTCTTCAGACAGCTTCTTGTGCAGCTGCTGGACCTTTAAAACCAAAACACAGGAATCAAATCCTCCCCCCTAAATACGCATACAACCATATACAACCAATCTCTAGATTCTGTGAGACTCTTGGTTTTAAAGTGTGTTCTTACTTGTCTTTTGTATGTTTCGAGTTGTGCACGAGCAGCATTGGCTTTGCGCAGCTCCTCCTCCAGACTGACGGTGTTTTGCATGTAGGTCATGTTATTCTCCTCCAGCAGCTTCATTTGTCTCTTTAGATCCCCAAGATTCTCCAGCTTACGCTTGTAGGTTTCCACTGAGGCCTCCAGCATCACCACTCGATCCGAGCAGCTCCTGCAGGAACACAACGTTCACTCAGCAGGCTCAAAAAACCTCAACTGGACTTAAACTTGTACAAGAAGCAGGATGAAACCAGCAATGCGGGCTGACGACGCACATATAGTTACAGGTATACTCTCATATATGACAGCACATTTTGAAGTTTTGTTAGGAAAAAAATATCTTTACCCCTGAAGGATGGACTAGAACGTGTGTTGCTCAGTGTGGCTCTATTTGGACCCGAGTTTTCACAGTGGTAACATTAAACAGCAGTAGCTCAGGAGGTAGAGCGGGTTGTCCCGTACTCAGAAGACTTAACCCGCCTTGCCTGCTGGTGCTCGGCAGCCTCGCCTCTGTCAGTGCGTCCCAGGGCAGCTGTGGCTACATTATAGTTCATCACCAGTGTGTGAATGACTGATTGTGTTGCGAGTGTGTTTTTAGAAGCTTTGCTGAAAAAGGCCACTTTTTACTCTAAATAAGGGGCTGTTGTGTATTGTAAAACAAAAGACCCACAATAAGCTTTTCAAATAGTATTTTTTGGACAGCCTTTTATATGAAATTAAAATAAAATTTAACCTGCATTCTGCTCTTTAAAACCTAACGTGTCACTTTAACAGTCAGTGAGCTGCATCTGAAAAGTTTTACAACTAACGGCATTTTGATCTGCCTAATAAACTACAATAAAATGCTTATTTCAAGATAATTTCTATACAACTGATCTTGATTAAAATCATTATTGACTGTGTTGGCTGTGCGGTGCCAACTTATATTTGAACATTAAGCTTCCTACCAGGTTGGAAAGGACATGTACAGAACTCTGCCGGTCGGTTTATGGTTAGTAACCCCTGCGCGGGAGCAGGAGAGCTATATGGAAAGGAAGAATTACAATATGCTGATTAGCTTAGCTTATCAGAGGGGATGTTGTTGTCTTTTGCAACAACTATTATATTTTCATTTTTTATTTCATTTTCTCCTCTCTGCCATTTTCAAGTGCTGCGTTTGTGTACCTGTGGCTTTTGTGGAGCGTTTTGCTTATTTGCCATTTGTACTTTTGTATGAGGTCTGTTTATTCCATGAACGGTCATGCTGAGTTCTAATGATTCATCTGCACACAGCGGCGCATTAAGATTTGTTAGCTGGAATGTTAAAGGGTTAAATTCTCCTGTAAAATGGAGAAAGGTTGTCAATCACCAAAAATTTTTAAATACCAGAATTGCATTTATACAAGAAACTCACTTAAAACGGACAGATGACCAAAAACTGCATTGTGGGTGGGTGGGGCAAACTTTCCACTCTTCATTTAATGGAAAGGCGCGAGGAGTAGCCATCTTAATCCACAAAAATATCCCTCTAGCAGTCACAGAGGTGGTGTCAGACCCCAATGGGCGTTACGTTATTGTTGTGGGTAAAATAGGAGGAAATAAAGTAGTTCTAGCCAATGTGTATGGACCGAATTGGGATAATGAGGACTTTAAGAAACTTTTCTTCTCACTTCCCAATTTGAACAGTGGCCAGCTTATCATGGGCGGTGATTTTAACTGCTGTCTTAACCCAGCATTGGATCGCAGCTCAGTTAACCCAAGTCCTAAATCTAAATCATCAAAAGCAATACAAATATTTATGCAGCAATATGGAGTTCTGGATGTCTGGCATCATCTGAATTCTGCCACAAAAAATTTTCTTTCTTTTCTCATGCACATGGAACCTTTTCACGTATTGACCTCTTTCTGGTAGATAAAAAAAACTTCCCTCCTCAGTTAACCATTGTGATTATGCCGCTATAGTGATATCGGATCACGCTCCGGTTATTTTGGACATATCATTCCCGGATACTCCAATAATGCGTTCCCCCTGGCGTTTTAATTCTTCATTACTCATTGATGCAGACTTTGTTGAATATATAAATCAGAGTATTGATTTTTATTTCTCTACCAATGTAACCCCAGATGTGATGGCAGCAATGATATGGGAAGCTTGTAAAGCCTTTTTAAGGGGGAAGATAATAGCGTACACTGCTTATAAAAATAAGATAGTCTCCCGGAGGAGGCATGCTCTTTACGACACTATATCAGAGCTGCAAATTAAGTGTGAAGAGTCCCCATCGGCTGATCTGGTGAAGGAGCTTCTAATAAAGAACTCTGAATTCGATTTTATGGCCACTGATGAGGCTGTCCAGTTAATCACCAGGACCAAGCATAGTTATTACGAGTTTGGGGATAAGCCAACTAAAGTCCTCGCCCACTGGATCCGCCAGTCCTCTAATGAGCAGTGTATCTCGGAGATCTCTGGAATTGATGGGTTTTCCGCCGACCCCCAGAAAATTGACGATCGATTTAGGGACTTTTATTCGTCTCTTTATACGTCTGAAAATTTGCCTGGCGACGCATATCTGGATGACTTTTTCAATGGAATGATGATCCCGACAGTTGCCCCAGATATTGCAGTGCACCTAGATAAACCACTTACTACAGGTGAAATTAAAACTGCAATTATGTCCATGCAAAGTGGAAGGTGTCCAGGGTCCGATGGTTTTCCGTCGGAATTTTATAAGGCTTTTATGGACAAGTTATCCCCCCTCATGCTTGCCATGTTTAAAGAGGCGGTTGAATCTGGAATCCTACTGCTTACCCTACGACAAGCTACAATTTCCTTAATTCCAAAAAAAGGTAAAGACCCTCGCCTCTGTAGTAACTACCGCCCTATTTCTTTACTATGTGCAGATGTTAAAATCTGGGCCAAAATGTTGGTGAGACGCTTGGAATTGGTAATACCTTCAATCATTAATCCAGAACAAACAGGTTTCGTCAGGACCAGACATCCATACCATAATGTGAGGCGCTTACTTAATATTCTGTATTCCTCTTCATCATCTGACACTCAGGAACTGATCATATCTACGGATGCTAAAAAGGCTTTCGACCGGGTGGAGTGGCCCTATTTATTTTATACTCTAAAACGTTTTGGTTTTGGTCCCACTCTTATCTCTTGGATTAAACTATTGTATATTTCACCTTTGGCACAGGTTCGTACGAATAATTATCTCTCAAAGCCTTTCTCCCTAGGTCGCGGGACTCGCCAGGGGTGCCCTCTCTCTCCATCTTTGTTTGTAATGGCAATAGAACCGTTGGCAGCAGCCCTTAGGGCGAGTGCCATGAAAGGCATTCAACGTGGCGGCTGTGACAACAGAGTGTCGTTGTATGCGGATGATCTATTGATATTTATGTCGGACCCAGATAATTCCATGTTCTATCTTTGCTGAGGGACTTTGGACAGATATCCGGATATAAGCTTAACTTTGATAAAAGTGAAATTCTTCCGATTAACTCAGCTGCAACGGCATACCCACTTTCTAGTCTGCCCTTTAAGGCTGTCCCGCAAAGTTTTAAATATTTGGGTATCCATGTAACCAAGGACTTCTCAAAACTTTTTAAACCTAACTTTGAACCTCTGTTGGCGCAATTGGCTCAGGATTTGCAGCGCTGGTCTATGCTGCCTCTTTCTTTAGCAGGAAGGATTAGCTGTATTAAAATGAACTTTTTGCCAAGGTGCCTGTATCTCTTTCAATGCATCCAGGTGTTCATTCCAAAAAGTTTTTTTTCAGACTCTTGACAGTTCTATTTCGCAGTTTTTGTGGAACAAAAAACCTCCCAGAATGTGCAAGAGCCTTCTACAGAAAAGTAAGGACCAGGGGGCCGTGCCCTTCCAAATCTTCAGTATTATCATTGGGCTGTTAATGTTCGCACAATGTTATTTTGGTGTGACACCAAATCTACAGAGCCAATTTGGCTGCAACTGGAGGAGGCCACATCTGACTCTGCCTCTTTGCTCTCTCTCATGTGTCTCCCTTCAAACATTAGCCCGCATTTGTCCACTAGCAATATTAAAACTGTCTTTAAGATTTGGTCTCAAATGAGGTGTCATTAAAACCCAGGGTATACCTTTGCACTCACCATTTGACCAGAATCTGCATTTTCCTCCATCCCTGTTAGATAAAACTTTTGTGGTATGGAGGAGCCACGGGCTGATCCATGTGAAGGACATTTTTGTAGATGGCGTTTTGGCCTCATTTACACAGCTGTCGCTTAAATACCAACTGCCAAATTCACATTTTTTCCGGTACCTGCAGGCCAGGGACTTTATCAGAAAATATTTCATGGGTTTTCCCATTGTACCTGTGAACACTATGCTAGATGATATGATGGAGATTAAACCCTCCCAGAAAGGAGCGATATCCAAACTTTATAATTTTCTGCTCTCCATGTTTGGGGTGTGATCTGATTACCATCGTGTTGCTGGTCTGAGAAACTTAACATGGAGATTAATAACAGCCAATGGGAATCAGCCCTAAGGTGTATTCACTCCTCCTCAATTTGTGCAAGGCACTGCATACTTCAATATAAGGTAGTACATAGGATTCACTCGTCCAGAAGCAGGTTGGCTCAAATATTTCCAGGTACAGACTAACTGTGTAAAATGCAATCAGGGTCCAGCTAATCTTACCCATATGTGTTTAACCTGCACTGCCCTGTCGAAATTCTGGGACTCTTATTTTTAATTCACTTTCACTTCTTGTGTCTTGGAGGGTTCCACGGTCCCCATTGACGGCTCTATTTGGGGTGTTACCTGCTGGTCACTCCTTGCCATCTCACTTTGCTGACCTGGTTGCCTTTCTTACGTCATTGGCAAGGAAAGTTATCCTGATGAGTTGGAAAGACTCCCAACCACCGACCCACTCCCGCTGGATTAAAGATGCCCTCTATTTTATGAAACTAGAGAAAATAAGGTTCATCCTGAGGGGCATGGAAACTGACTTTGCCAAAATTTGGAGGCCGTTCCAAGACCATGTGACCTCTGTGACACTCGACATGGACACTTAACCTTGGCCTTGTAGAGCTATCGCCAGCATAGCCACACGTTGGTTGCTTATTTGTTACCGCAGCGCATAAGGGTTTTGGTTATTATTATTATTTATTTTTATATATATATTTTTTTTTATTTTATTTTAGTGTAGGTATGTGGATGTGATGTAATTGTGGAAAAAGTTATAAATAAATCATATACAAAAAAGTAAATAAATCATTATTTTTGTCGATGATCAAGTTTGTTCTTTCATGAACAAATCTGGTATTATTATTATCATAATTATTACAATAATAATAATTATTATTATTAGAAGACTACTTCAGGGACTATCGTTACAATTGAAGCCGTCTGCCTACAACTCCCAGCCGCCTTCAGACACAAACCTCAGAACATCCAGCTCATCTTTTAAAGCCCGTGATTCCTCTGCCAGGCTTGTGAGATCATCGTTTCGGTGCTGAAGCTCAATCAGCTGCTTCTCCAACTCCTCGCAGTGGATCCGATAGTCATCCTTGGCTGCCTCCAGTCTACAGGAACACATTTGGTCTTTATCGTAAAGAGGTAGTAGGAATATGCTTAAGATAAACGTGAAAAACCTGAAGTTTTCTTCCTGCAGACTCTCCAGTTGTTGCTGCAGCTGACTGTATTTTCTGCCTGAGGGCGTGCTCAGGTCATCAAACGTGTCTAGCTGATTGGTTCGGTCTGTCAGGACATCGTTCTCAGCCAGTAAGCTGTTTCTCTCCTCCTGAAGAACAGCCACCTGACCAGGAACAAAGAAGTGTGAGAGCCGCTCTATAAATGTTTCAGGTTAATGTTAGAATGAATTAAAGGAAGCAGAAAGATTCTGCAGTGTTAAATCATCTCTGGGTCAATAACAGCATGCAAAGCAGAAAAGATACTCCTGAAAATCAAAACACCCACTTCTCTGTTATGAAAAACCTCTTCCTGTCCCAGAGTGGCACGTGTATTAACAACAGTGGCGTTAATCCATGCAGGAAGTGCTGAACATGTAAAGTGCACTTCAACCTGTATGATGACTGCAGGTTCAGCTAAGATTCTGCTCATAATTCAGCAGTTTCTAATATTTAAAACAGCTTGGAACAATAAATGTCCCAAATGGAAATAAAGATTGCATTACATGACTGAAATAATTGTAGCTCAAATAGCTTTATGATATTTGACTGTTTCTTTTGACAAGATCATCATAACAACACAGCTCAACCCTGCATTTACGTTCAAATCATTCCATTTGAATTAGCATATTTATAGCTTGTTTTTACCTTCTCAGTGGCCTAGTTGATTGATTGATTGATTGATTGATTTAATTTATTTAAGTGTCATACACCATAAAGGGTGCCCAGCCCACACGGGCTTATTAGACACTACAACATTCAATAAATCATAACATGGCTGCGTGATACAGATTAATACACAACACTGCTAAACAAACACAACTATGACCACGTATTTCTTATATGGGGTATAGAATACGTTGGCATCTATACCACGCCTTTTCCACAAATTTAGCTAAAACTAAAATATTATTTTCAAACAACCAATTTCAGCTTCCAGCCTGGCACCATGTGAAGCTTCCAAAATAAACTGGGATTTTTGGACTGGATAAATTCAAATAAGACTCTCTCAAATCACAATACAAGGAACAATGAAAGATAAAATGGAATTAATTCTCAACCACATTGGAATCGCAAAACTCGCATAGACGAGAATCCCAAGGTATTCCTTTAAATCGTCCCACTTCCACTGCCAAAGGGAGGGTGCCCGTTCTTATTTGAGCTTATTTGTGGGTGAGCTGTGTAATGTTTCTGGAAGTATGCACCAAGTTTCAGGTTCTTCACAAAAGATGTTTATTGTGTTCCTTCTCCAGCTGTACATCATCGTCTCATCAGCACTCACCTCTACACTTAAATAGATTATCTAATACTGCCCCCTTGTGGGCAGAGCCACCATAGGTATCACTACATCCCCCTCTGTCACACACACACACACAAAAGTATTGTGCTGTTTCTTGTGTTCTATTGAGTTTTTTTTTTCTTCAGTTTATGTCCTACTAAAGATTCAATCTCTCCGGAGGCTTAATGATGCGAGTTGTCCTCCTGAGCCCACAGGATACAGGCACAGATATGGCTCCCTCTGCTGACGGGACACTGTCTTGCACAGCCATCCCTGCTGACAAGCCGGGCTGCGCGTTCGGCCCAACAACAAGAGACGAACCATCGTCACAGTCCTGTCCCTGAAGAGTCTCTTGTGTCTTCAACAAGTCACGACGGTTGCGCCTCAATGTCTGGCCATCTTCAGTCCTGACCACATAAGATCTAGGACCAGCTGTCCCCAAAACAGCAGCTCTCTTACTCCAGCGACCAGAATCCCCAACTCTCACTGTATCATTCTGGACCAGCGGCTCCAGTGATCTGGTTGACTTGTCATAGTTCCTCTTCTGTCTCAGCTGCAGAGACCTTCTTCGGAACCCCAGATCCTGGGGTACCCCATGGGCGTCACAGAATGGGAGAGTGGTCCTCAATCTTCGTCCGATCAGAAGTTCAGCAGGGGACACACCATGTTCAAGTGGTGAGGCTCTAGAATTCAATAGAGCCAAATGGGGGTCAGCATGGCTGTCTTTCGCCTTCCTGAGAAGATGTTTCACGATCTGGACCCCCTTCTCAGCCTTCCCATTCGACTGAGGAAACAGTGGGCTCGAGGTGATATGCAGGAAGTCATAATCCACAGCAAAACTCATGAAGCAATATTTGGAAAAATGATTAAATCCTTTACAGCTGTTGCATATCCTGCCAAATGTGGGACATTGTCTCAGTGCATGTCGCGTCCCACATCTTCGACAGGAAAACGACCTCTCCTTGTCCTGTCCACATTTCCGTTGGCATGAAACAGCTGCAACATCAGGCTCCATTCCCCGCTCCCCCGCTCCGTCACCAAAAGCTTTCACATGGTGCCGGGCTATTTCACACACATGGCAAATGTCCACAGCTTTAATCAACGTAAGATCAGTCTCTCTCAGCAGCTTTTCTCTCACTTTTGTATCATGTATTCCAAACACAACTTGATCTCTGATCAGCGAATCCTGAAGAATTCCAAAATTGCACGTTCATGCCTTTAACTTCAAATCCGTCAGGAAGACATCAAAGCTTTCATCCTGCAGCTGCAAACGTGCACGAAACATGTACCTCTCGAATGTCTCATTTTTCTTCGGTGAGCAGTGATCGTCAAACCTCTGCAACACAACGTCAAACTTGTGTCGGTCCTCCTCATCCTCAAAGACAAAGGTATTAAACACCTCCACAGCGCAGGGTCCCGCCACTGTAAGCAACAGAGCAATCTTGCGAGCATCAGGCTTGCTATCCAGGCCAACAGCCTGCAAATACAGCATGAAGCGTTGCTTGAACGAACGCCATGCACAATCCACATTTCCAGTCCAGACAACAGCATCTGGAGGCCGCACACAATCCATAGCTGAACCCCACTCCTGGTACCATGTAATGTTTCTGGAAGTATGCACCAAGTTTCAGGTTCTTCACAAAAGATGTTTAATGTGTTCCTTCTCCAGCTGTACATCATCGTCTCATCAGCGATCACCTCTACCCTTAAATAGATTATCTAATACTGCCCCCTTGTGGGCAGAGCCACCATACAAGAAATGAAATGAAAGGAAGTGCTTTTGCAAAACAAATAAGAGAAAATCCACAGAGTGGCACAGCGTTGCTGAAGCCATCAATGTTGTGAATTCTTCAGAGATCTGTGGCGGATATAAAATAATGATCCAATCGGGATTTGATCCCCAGACTCCCAGGTGAAAGTCATGTGCGCTAACCAGTCAGCCAAACAGAGATCTCCCTCGTCCAAGTAGCCAGGGTGCATGATCAATCGAGTCACAGTGACAGGACACACACTGTCACAGACGTATGACATTCTGTCTCCCTGCTGATAATCTGCATTCCGTATTCTGTGCTTCAGGCTGTGTGTGTGTGTGTGTGTGTGTGTGTGTGTGTGTGTGTGTGTGTGTGTGTGTGTGTGTGTGTGTGTGTGTGGTGGTGGTGGGGGGGGGGGGGTCTTGTTCTGTGTGAAAACGAAGCGGTGCAAGTGATAATGCTGCAGGATTTCATAACTTTATCCTTCTCAGCAGCAGCACTGCAGGTGCTCTCCATGTCCAACATGTGCGTAAGCCAGGTCCTTAGTCAACTTAAAGTTGCACACAGTTTTCTGCTACGTTTTCTTTCATAAATCCCAAAGTTTGCGTGGAAGGTTGCTTACGCAGTTTTCCGACCCCGTTTTGTGTGTAAGTAAGCTTGATAAACAAGGCCCCAGGTTTAGTTGCTGAACTGAAGAAAAACACAGCATGGAGACTTGTTGATGCCACAATTCCCCATCTCTGCACTGCTCCCCACAAGGATAGGTCAACTGCAGAGATGAATTTCTCCAGTGTGTGATGACTAATGAGACGATTACTTTTTTACTTTAACCTCTATCACTTGTCCTATGAATGGTGTGTCTTTGTTTTCTCTAAAGAAGATGACAACAGTAATATCAGATAGAAGTAAAGGGGTAAATAATTAAAATGCCACTAACGATTGCCAAACAAGCAGATGACTTGGTTTAAACAGAACCCTGATGGAACGGAGCCCTTTGTTAGCGGAGTTAGAGTAAACATGTGAGCAGCTGGTTTAGAAGGGTTTAGTTCTTTCTGCCCAAAAATTAGCATGTTGGACTTACCTTTCTGCACAGAGAGACGAATGGGACAGGGGACAGATCAAATGAATCTGCCGAGAGTCCAGTTGAACAGTGGATCAGTACCTATGCTAGCTGAGCAGCAGCTGAGTGTGAGCAGGAGGCCACAGTGGAACCAGACTGTGAGCCCACTGCCGTTCTGCCACAGCAGCTCCAAACAATGGACTCAAGCATTACAGAGAATTACACAACTCTTGTTTAGACTGCAGCCAAAGGCATGCATGTGTGTTTACAAGGACAGCTGAATGTCTACAGACTTATCAAAGGTTATGGAGTCCATCTAGAAATCAACACCATATGAAGCTTTTCCTACTGGAACAGAAGAAAGGTGTGTGCATGAACTCTGAATTCACCTGCATGTCCAGCTCCTGACAACGTTGGGCCAATGCTTCCTTTTCTGAGTGAAGGTCAGAAAGCTCCTCAAGGGCTTTTTTCAGCTAGACAGATGGATGAGACACATTTATACATGTGGTAATGACTGTAAACCAGCACACAGAATAGTCTACTGCTATATCTAAAACAGAATGTTCACATGTTAACTAAATGTTTTTAAAACAGTGAAATAATAATTATGTGCTACAGATTTCTGCTCGGCTAATGCATAGCTCATGTATAATCTTCGCAGATTGGACATTTCTCATTTTTGTATCTCAACGTAAATTGTTTTTAGATTTTAAAGGCACAAGACACCCTGTGGTCAAATGTGGGTACTACAGCTCATGCATTAAAATAACCGAGTTGTCTCTGAGTGACTCTCCTCCTCTCATTACCAAGTTATCGTGGCTGTTGCCAGTTACGGATCAGCATCAGATGATGCAGATGATTCTAGATGACGAGTGAAGATGAGTCAGACACAGTAAGTTAATAAGTAAATAAATACATTTCACTTTAATACTGAGTTGCTGGTAACTTAAAATGTAGCTTGAGTTACTTTTATAGGCGACTATTTGCTTCTAATTTTATTGTTAGCTCAATGTTATCTTCTAGCCCGCTTTACCTGATATTAGAGTAAACAAAACTGTGCCGTGGCTTCTTAGGGGTACAAGAAATAACTTCTGGGCAGCTACTTTTATTGACTTAATTTCTTTCAACAACTCAGGAGCTTTTTGCCGTCCGTGTCGAATTACAAATGCTGGCAAAGCAGCAACAGACTCAGCAACCCTGTAGGCTCAAAGATTATACACAGTGACTATGTCCCTCTTCTGCTTTTACTGAAAGGAGAAAAACGGACACAATCTCCCAGCCGGCTGGGAAGGAAATCTGTTTTAATCTAACTTTTTTTTCCAACATGACTGAGATATTACACCAGCGGTTCTCAGTCCCGGCTGCGCAGTGGTGCAGTGGTTAGAGCTGTTGCCTTGCAGCAAGAAGGTCCTGAGTTCGCTTCCCAGCCTGGGATCTTTCTGCATGGAGTTTGCATGTTCTCCCTGTGCATGCGTGGGTTCACTCCGGGTACTCCGGCTTCCTCCCACTGTTAGGTTGATTGGTCTGTCTAAATTGTCCTTAGGTGTGAGTGTGTGATTGTTTGTCCTGTGTGTCTCTGTGTTTCCCTGCGATGGACTGGCTCTCTGTCCAGGGTGTACCCTGCCTGATTGCCCATTGACCGCTGGAGAAAGGCACCAGCCCGGCTTATGTATGTAGCGTTATGAATATCATAATTGTCTGCCCTTAACAGCTGCCCCTTCACACAGTAACAACGTGTAGGAATCGCCAAGGTCGGATGCTGGTTTCAGTATGTTTACACTCCAGGAGAAGAGACAGAAGAAGAGAAGAAGAACGCTTTCCATTAATTAATCAAAGTACTTTATTTGTGATAAAGCTAATCAGAGCATATGTTGATCATTAATAATCAGGTGAATGATCTGTGAAATAAAGATGTCATGAGTTATGTGTTTAATGAATAAACAGGACTGCACCAGACAGACTGATCTACATTACCATGGAAACGCATGACACATTGTTCTCAACCAATCAGAACTTTCGTCTGTGGTAGGGCAGAATCTGGGTTGTTTAATGAAGTTGTCCAATCCGGTTTACTAAGATTTATAAACAACTAGGGGATATAAAACAAGGCAACACCATTTTAAACTCAGTTCCATTTTAACCTCAGTTCTGTTCAATCTGAGTTCCTAAGGAGTTCCATCATTAAGAAAGTTGCAGGCTGGCCAGCTGCACTTTCCTACTTTAAGCTGAGAACTGTCAAGCTGGAGATTTCCGTCGTTTGAACAAGACGACGTTCTTCAAAATAAGAGCTGAACTCGCTGATGCCTGCCGCTACTACTGGGAGTCGATCCGCAGACGGGCTTTGTCGTGCTGCGACCGCTGCTCCACCAGCTCCAGTACATCTGAAGGTCCGAGGACCTGGCATTTCCTGATCTAACACGGGAGGCTCCATACGGTACGTGGTCACGGCAAAATGGCTGCTCATGTCATCAGCTTCTGAAGCCTCGTGATTTGTAGTCATAACAACCAGATCCGCCTACGTCAGCCTAGAGATTCTGAACCACACACACACACACACACACACACACACACACACACACACACACACACACACACCAACACGAAACATCCAAATCCATATGCATCCATCACGGAGTTAGTCCTGGTAGATTGTAAGAATTTATAATTATAGAAATTAAAGATTCTTAAACGATCCCAACTCTCTCTTTTCTTGTCTCTCAGTCAATACAGAGTGTTTAAGTAAACTCCCTGAAGATAAAACAACCGCTTCTGATTATAATATTTAGATCTAATTACAGTGTATAAATATACAAACTACAGATCACTACATGTATATGCATGAGATCCACAAGGCACTTTGCATTGACCATTTATGGCAGTAAGTGGGCGTGGTGAAGGCGGGATGTGACTAAAAAGAAGCTGACAAACTTTCTAGATGGTTTCTGATTTATGAAGCGGAGATTGCGTGCAGCTGTGCATACTCCATGTTTGATAGATCACAAACCTACTTGGCGTAAGTACATTTATTTTGCTGAGCTTAGTAAGGATTCTACCCAACGTTTGATAAATGAGACCCCAGAGCTGTAAGGTGTAGCACTGACCTGCTGCTCCAAGTTCCCTGACAGCCCTGCTCCAAACGGGGTCACAGGCTCTTTGATCATCAGCTGAAGAGGAAAACATCACAGAGTTTATTACAGTCACTTCACAGGAAAACTATACACATATGCATGCGCTTTGCCCTCCTCCAACTACTGCTGTGGACACCTTTAAAGAAACCTCAAAGCTTGGTTACTACTAGAGGTCGACCAATATATTCAAATATTTTTCATATCGGCTGAAATTATTTTTAAAAACCGATGAAAAATGTTTCAATTTTTTTTTTTTAATCAGGCACCTGTGTGGCTAACTGCCACATCTACTAGACTGAGGAAAGGACCCGAAGGACCCCAACACACCGTATTTTTTTCTTTTTTGTTTTGACTTTGTTTTATATTTGAAGTTCAATAAATATTAAGAGATTTATTGACTTATTTAATTTATATTGCACATAGTGAGTGTTCAGTTGTCTTTCACAATCAATGTGCTGCTACAACATATCATATATATAAAAAAAAATTTATATATATATATATATATATATACACAGTATATATATATACATATTATCTATATAATATGTGTATATATATATATAATATGTGTATGTATATATATATATGTATGTGTATATTATATATATATATATATATATATATATATATATATATATATATATATATATATATATATATATATATATATATATATATATACTAGTGGTGTGCATCTCTACCTGCCTCACGATTCGATCCGATTCCGATTATCTGCCTAACGATTCGATTTGAGTCTGACATGCATCACGATTCTTCACACAAACATTTTCATTACTTAATAAAAGCAGTAGAATAGTTTTCAATTTCTTTCTGATTTCGAAATCCCTGAAAAACAGAACATTCATCTATTCACTATAGTAAGCAATAATGTTTAAAGTGTGCTGCCTATAATTACTTAAATAATATAAGAAATAATGTTTTCGGTAGAGCAGCTTTAAGATAGAATATTACTGAACTTAAAAATAGTAAACAAATACTGTGTTAAGTGATTCTTTCATATCCAGGATCCCAAAACCGAAATTAGCCCAAACATCCAATTTAAATGTAACGGGTACATCTTTGATTACTGGTAATGTTGGCCCTGTATCCCTGTCCGCCTTTTCTGTTTTAAATTGACGCTAGGGCAACGCAGTGCGCATGTCAGTGCAACTCTGCCCCCAGAAGTAATTGTAAAACCTCAAAACTTTATTGTCCTCGCATGGACATAGACCAGGGGTCTGCAACCTGTTCCCATCAAAGAGCCATTATTACCCGTTTCCCACAGTAAAGAAAACACTGGGAGCCACAGCAGCCGCGGCGTTGTGGGCGGGGCCTACCCTCAGACAGCAGAGAGCTGTTCACAACAGGTGACAGCAGCCAGTACCGGTCGCTCGTGTACGTCAAAGTTATCTTTCATAAGACGATAATCAATAAAATTATTTATATAAAGTGGATCCAGAAGTTGTAGCACGTCTCTGCCTACAATATTTTGATATTTTTCACCCTGTTGGTGGTTTTACTGAGCAGGTGCCACTTTTGTCATACGTTTCTTTTTAAAACATGTTTAGACTGTTCAGAATACAAATCCAGGCTCTGTCACGTTTGATTGTTGTAATTAAACTTTGTAGGTGGGGAAGGTCAGAAATGGATCCAATCATTTTTGTTTTTCCCTCATTTACAGTGACGGAGATAACGGTGCAGTGAGCCTGGCTCTGGTGTTCAAGTTAAATTATATCTCTTTGCAACAATTTTCACAAGAAAACAGAACAGTTAAAAGCAGGGCTTGTGTTGACCGGATAGTTCCCGTATTTGGCCGTTTATTTTGACGGAGAAAGAATAGAAAGAATTACCCCGACGTAAGCAGACGAACTGACATTTTATTCATTTCGCACATCGCAGATGTAGCTAAATCACTCAAGAAATGATTCCATCTGAGCTGGAAACTGCTCAGCGCAGCTCGCTGTCAGCGTGTACTACATAAGGTCCACAGCGAGCTGAAGATGTGGAGAGGGGCTTGGAGCACGTCGCAGAACCAGAGCGCATGCGAGAAGATTCCTCCGACTGAAGCGAGACTTGTCACTTAGAAAATGTTCCCCGATTATGAAACTTTGGCTGAATAGTGCTTGTTCCTGTCTCCAATGTGGCGACACATCCAGGAGCCGTCTGAGGAGAATCCCAGAATCTCACATCCTCGTCAGCTCAGAATGCGCCTATGATTACGCACAAGCGTGACGCGTCAACCCGGTCTCACAGTAAGACCGGGTTGGACCTGTTCAGGTTTACGCAGACAATCTTTACATTTATAATTAGCTTACAGATGTAAAATTTATGCAGTAAAATATAAAGCATTTTATTTAAATATCCATTCATTATTTTACAAGCACAGAGAGCCGCATCAGATGGATGGAAGAGCCGCATGCGGCTCCAGAGCCGCGGGTTGCCGACCCCCGACATAGACATAGGGAGAAAATCTCATGTCACGTTGCTGCATCGATGCGGAATCATGCACGGCTGAATCGCGATGCATCTTAGAATCGATCATTTTTCCCACCTCTAGTATATATATCTATATATATATATATAGATATATATCTATATATATATATAGATATATATCTATATATATATAGGCTTTAGATATCGGCCATCTGCAAAAAAAATTCTTTAAAACTCTCTATCGACATCAGCCTTAAAAAAAACATCTCTGTCAGCCTCTAGTTACTACACAGATAAAAACTGCTTAGCAAAGCATTTCTGAAAAAATTTTATTCAGCTAATCCAAGTGAGGGAGGAAATTCAAGTACTGACCTCCTGGATCGCAGTCATTACCACATGCTGCACAGACTCCTCCAGCGTCATGATGATCTGAATATATTCTGTCGATAAATGAAACTGAATCATTACCTTAAGGATATACAGTATTTCACGTAAACTACCATCTATAAATACACACATATAACATATTTGACTGCTGTGTGTATGAGTTTTGTAGAAAACATACATTCAGTGTTATACCTTGTTTGCGCTCACATCTGACAGCACAGCCCAGGATGAGCTGCAGCAGCCTCCCCAGCTCCACCGGGTCAGCGTGCTCAGCCACCAGGGACACATTCGGCAAAGAAAAGTCTGAGATTTCCTGAGTTAAAACCTGATAGCGTACAGACATAAACAAAGCACTTAGAGAAGCTTGTTGAATAGAGAATGAATTATACACGTCCAAATGAATGTAAAGTGAAATGGAAGCAGTTTATGTTACTGAAAATGCACTGTGAGAGAGTTTAGAGCTGGTAAGCGTAATCTGATCAGAACTTTTTTCTTCACTTTGCTTTGGTGCACAATACAAGTCCCAAAGGAAGTGAAATGCAGCTATCAGTTGGAGCAGGTTTTTCCACTATCATTGGAGGCCACTGTAACTAAGAGGGTGTATGATGCATTTCTTACCTCATTATAATAGTCAACCACCATCTGAAGGATTTTCTTCAGATTGTTCATCTGAAAAGAGATTTTATAACGTAACATTTGTTAGAAGTTCTCACATCAAACAAAAGTAATACAGAACAAAGTATGTTTATTTGTGAAAAAGTAGCAAAAGAAACTCAAATGTAGCTAAATGAAAGACTTGAATAAGAGCTGACGTTTTGCAACAAACAGGCATTTCCCTGAGAAGTCATGATTCAGAGTGCAGGCTAAGCCAGATGCAGCAGCGATGGAGCAGTTTAATGATCAGCGTCAACAACAGTTTAGAACAAACAGAGCACTTAGCACATGGAAACTCACAGGACTAAAATCAGAGGCTATAGACAAGAGACACAGCTATGTACCTTCAGTCTCCAGTTCTCATCAACATCTGTTTTGAGACGACTCAGCCACCCATCACTGAACCACACTGGGTCTCTGTTCACAGTATTTACAGAAAACAGGAGTGTGGGCACATTGGTTTTAGGTTATATGTGGAAAGAATGATTAGTCTCTCTTAGGTATATCAGTATATCATGACTGGTTTTTGTTTGTTTTTTGTTTAAGTGAATTCAGTGGAAGGTAAGATGCTATCCCTTTGTTTTCAGTCAAAGCAAAGGTATATGAGAACTACTAATAAACCCAGAACTAACAGAGCAGCTGTTCCATTTTGTAGGTTTTGTTAATCACTGTAGAGAAATAGGACTATTCCAACAGTTTTCACGTGAACATGTGTTTCCTCACATCTGATGCAGTGCCTGTGAGATCGCTGCTCCAGTGGTGAGATCCTCCATTGTTCTGCAAGGTGCAGTAGTGTTGAAAGTCTGTAGCTGAGACACAAAAACAGGACATTATCAGGATGGTTTCTGAACAACCCAGAGTAGTAAAGTTGCCTAACAATCATTACTCAAAAGCTCATCTGCTCTGCTACTCATTCAAACACTGTAAATTTGTTAAAAAATCATATTGAGAAGCAAGAAGACAAATTAAATAATAGAGAATAGAGAGAATAGGTGTGACTGCATGTGACAGTGGCACAAAAGCACAACATCTAAGACTTTGCAGTAAATATATGAAGTAAAATCCAAAGGTTGTCCAACACTATGATTTACTTCCTACAACCTGTGTCTCATACATGCCGACATTTACTGGAATGACAAGATCATCTCAAATGAAGGTTCAATTCCAAAAGAAGATCCACCTTAAAAAACAATTCCATCTAATAGTTCTAAAAACAAACACGCTAGCGTTTTATCCTGATTAAATAAATAGCTGAACAGTTAGTTCCCAAACATCAAATGAGTGAGTGACTACATGGATAACAGCAAAACAGGTAGAACCTAAAAACAATTAATACCTGAGTTTTTTTTTTGTTGTTGTTGTTGGTTTATTTTTTTACTTTTTGCTTGTTTTTAGTTCAGAGGTCAAACAGGACTCAGGAGTCAGTTTGCGTTGCTGACTGATGTAGAAGTGGTTAATTAATACATCTAATTAGTAAATTCCTTCTCAATGGAAATAATAGGAAATATAACAGTTAAACAAGAATATTGGTGCTTAATATTAGCTGTTTGGGTTGAATTACATAACAATAAAATCTAATCCGACATTCCACACCTACAGTAGCAGTTTTAGGCATGGGCAGACAGGGCAGTTGCCCGGGGCACACAAGCGCTGAGTAAAAAATAAAAAAGAAAGAAATCTGTGCCGCACCGAGGTTTTCTATTCTATCTGTCTTATCAGAGTCTGGATTGGAAACAGCTAGTTGGCGCCCCTTGCAGCTGCAGGCGCTCCTGCTGACTGAGAGGGTTCAGGCGCACCCATGGGTGCACCATGTGTGTATGAAGAGGAGGGGGGGGGGGGGGGGGGATTCACCTCTGGGTCTTTCCCAAATGAAATGAGCGGGTAGGGGCTGAATCAACTGTATTAACATGGCTAAAGTCAATCACATCTTGATGTTCTTCTATTTAACGCACATTTCATTGATAATATCATAAGCACAGGCCCATCATTCTTTCAGGTTTTTCTGAATTGTGTGAAATGGCCAAATAAAAAAAGGAAAAACAAAACGATTTTGTGGTCACCCACCCATCAAGGTCGAATTGTTTAGTCCTGACTAAAGGAAACTTATTGAGTCAAGAGCCAAACAGAAGAGATGAACATAAAAAGGCTAAAACCACCAGGTGCCCAATTCAGGAATAAAAAGAAAAAAGAAAAAAAGAGGAGAAAGATAAAGGTATGTGCGCTCTCATGATGCATGTTTTCAATTTTTTGAACCAGTTAACTGGGATTTTAATGGTTAAATTCGGTCAAGTAGTTGCTAACAGAGCTAATAGGGCTGAAATATTGAAACGAAAATACAAATGGTTCGAAAAAATCCTTGAATCATTTTTTACTGATTCAAACTAGGATTTGTTAAATGCTCGCTGCAGCCTGTGGCCTGCCTGAACAACAACAAACACATGTTGATCATGTTCACATAATAATAAATAAAACAACTGTACAAGCAGAAGAAAACTCCCCAGTCACCACTAACTATCCTGTTTATTTATTGCTGATGGCTGCACTGATTATTTTTTACATGATTTGTTCTGTAAAAGTTGGCATTTTTGGTAGTCTACAGTTTTTTTTATGTCAGTTTAAATTATAATTTCAGAGGCAATTCTAAAATATTATGATCATGATAAAGATCTATTGGAGATCTACCCCAACTTTTGGACTGCTCTGCCAGTCACTGTGGCTCAAGCTGAGAGCAGCTTTTCAAAACTTGATCAAGTCATACCTGAGGTCACCTATGTTTCAGGGGCGGCTCACTAACCTGGCTCTGATTAGTATCAATCAATCAGTAGGGGAGCAATTTCATACGACAACATTATTGATGACTTTGCATCAAGGTTAGGTTTTAATTTTAGTTTGTGTTTTCTAAGTGCAATGCTGTAGTGATTATCTTTAGTTTGTTATATGTGAAATATTTTTGCTATTTAGAATATTTATTATATATTATGTTCATATATTCTTAATATTTAGTTATTGTTTGTTTTCGTATATTGATTCTATATATTGTGATACAGTATATAATGTATATTGCTTTACATTCTGACAACTTCATAGTAATTAATGTAAATATGTGCAACTTAGAAAAATGAATGTTCAATAGTCGTTCTAATAAAACATGCCTGTGTTGTAGAAAACATGCATGTGTGCGTGCAGGTGGGGGTGGGGGGGGGGGGGGCTCAATGGGGGCCTCGCCCGGGGAGTAATTCCATGTAGAACCGCCACTGCACACCTATCCCATGCTAATAAGATTAGCAGTCTAAATCCAGTAGTAATACGTAAATCTAGCGGATATTGTTAACTTAGTACTTTATGGGCGCTAACTTTACAATAAACAGCGTTCAGGATAAATGTACGACGCTTTTTATTGGTCAACCTTCTGCGACACTTCGTAACAGTTTACGGACTGAGCGTCACTACAAAGACGGTTGCTATAGTGACTATCTGTGAACCTAAAGGTAATTTCTATAAGCAGGGACCTGTGTTCGCTTCGACCACTAAAACAATTGCTAGATTTCATTAATATCGGCTTCATTTTATCCTCAGCTAGTAAGGCTGCTTTCACCGAAACCCCCAACAACTACAAATAAAACAGCCGCAGTCACTGGTTTCGTCGACACAATTTAATGAAACAAACTCACCCATATTTTTAGGCTCTCAGCCAGCGCCGTTTTACTATTCTCCATTTTGCTCCTCTTTAGTTCCTCAGGTAAAATGTTCTCCTTCACCTGTCAGCGAACCTCTTCCGCTCTGTTCCTCTGCATTTGACCTCACCTGCTGCCAAAGGTAAATTTCTAACGATAAATGCGTAGCTTAGAGGTTTCCGCAATGAAATGACGTAAAACGTCTGTGAATGGCGCAGCTTCTTAGGCACCGAACGGGTTGTTTTGACGAGAGAGGGAGAGACAGTTTTATCCAATAGGCGTTTAGTTTAAAGAAGATTGACAGCGTTAAAAAAAGATGTTGACCAATCACAGAGCAGATTTGTGATTTTTGTCCGCCCTTGTTTCATCTTCGTCCTGAACAGGTGTTCAAACATCTCTCCAACAGCTGCTGCTTTCAGGACACAACTGTTACAAAATTTAAATCAAGAAGGAAATGAAGTACACCAGAAATAATAAGAAGTATATTTAGGTGAGCTATTGTATCTCATTTACGATTTTTCCACTTTTCGGGGGTCTTTTATGTTAAAATGAGCACGCTTAGCTTTTAAGGGCATCAATACTTACTAATTTATCATTTTTGACTAATGTGCCAAATAAAGAGCTAAAAAGCATTGAATCAACAGGAGTCTTTACATTTTAGTATTAAAAAAACCAACATCCAGATCCACCTTTCTATAAGTTTTGTTTACCAATTGCTGCTCAACCAGCATCTGTAATTTTCCGTAATATAAAATCAACTATAAATCAAATATTTATTTATTTATTTAGCTGTGGTTGATTTTGCTGGGATAACCACCTGTGAAATCTTGGTTTTATGACAGCATTCTGTAATAACTTTACAAAAAAAACTCCGGTTTTTTTTTATCTAACAAGACGATGGAAGAAACTGAAGAATCCAAATCTAGCCTCTTAAAAGCATTTTTAAGGTATTAAAAACATGTGCTTGTCATAAAATTTGAATATCATGACAAAGTTTTCTCAGACCACTCTCCGATTTTATGTAATTTTAATGTTCCGTCTTGGCAGGTCCCAACTTCTCTTCCTGAGAGGTGCAGTCGTGCCATAAATCCTGCTAAGGTGGCGAGATTCAGTGAGTGCTTTAGTCTAACAGGACAGGACCTTCTCTTAGCCCAACTCCCTGTTGAAGTGTTTATTACTCGTTTTGATACACTATGCACATCTGTTTTGGATGATGTTGATTAGGAAAGGAGGGCATAGGGCAGAGCTGGGGATGTCTGATGAGACCCAGGCCTTCAGGCAGGCCTGCAAGAGAGCTGAGCGAAAGTGGAAGCAAGACAAACTTCATGTGTCCAATGAAATTTATAAAAAGTCACACTTTTTGATTACCAGGAAGTGGTATGACAGGCTAGGATCAGATACTATGCCAACATTGTGGAATCAAATTCTCATGACCCACGCACTCTCTTTAAGGTGATTGATTCAGTACTGGAAATGGCAACTTCTGCCTCCAGGTCCACGGCTGCGATGGCCGGGACATGTGAAGATTTTCTTCACTACTTTGTGGACAAGATAGTGATGATTCGGGCTGCTACTGCAGGCCGCACTCCTGTTTTTGGTGGCACCTATTCCATTTAGGGCAAACCTGCCAGCCTTCCAAACTATATCTAGGACAGAGTTAGAGGAACTCATTTCTAAGCAAAAACCTTCTGATTCCCCTTATGATGCTCTTCCCCCAAGGATGCTTAAGGAGGCTTTTTCTGTTCTGAGCCCTTATATACTGGTTATCTTAAATACCAGTCTGGCCTCTTGTGTGGTTCCCCTTACTTTTAAGAGGGCTGTTGTACGACCGCTGCTGAAAAAGAAGGAAATGGAGGAAACTGTGTTAGCCAATTACAGACCTATCTCACATCTACCTTACATATCTAAGCTGCGTGAGAGGGTTGTATATTGGTTGCATTTTTAGACACTCACACACTCTGGGAGATCTTTTCAGTCAGGGTTCAGAGCAGGTCACAGTACCGAGACTGCACTTTTCATAATGTTTTTTTTAGCTTGTGATGGGGGGGGGGGATGCTGTCATTCTTTTGATGTTAGATTTGTCTGCGGCCTTCAACACAGTTGATCATGACATACTTTTGGATCGGCTACAACATTGGGTGGGAATTACCGGTGCAGCCCTACAATGGCTACAGTCCTACTTATCCAACAGGAGTTTTTGTGTCAGTGTAGGTGAAACCTCCTCGACCTGGGTGGGATTCAAGTGGGGTGTGCCACAGGGGTCTGTACTGGGTCCGCTTCTTTTTGCCATTTACTTATCGTTGGGGAATCCTCTTCGGTGGTTCGGCATGCGTTTTCATTTTTATGCTGACGACTGTCAGATCTACCTCCCCCTTCAGCGGGGGTCGATGGGTCAATATCAAAGCTTGTAGATGCCTTAGAAGATGTGCGCTCCTGGATGGCTACAAACTTTTTACATCTGAATGACGCTAAGATTGAAGTAATTGTACTTAGCCCTGCCATGTCTACACGCCCATGCGATGCTGTGAATCTGGGCCCTTTAGCATCTAACATGAAGACCACCATCCGAAATTTGGGAGTGCAACTGGACTCAGCCCTTAAATTCGACGCGCAAATGAACTAGGTTGTGCGATCGTGTTTTTTTAACTTACGCCGACTAGCCAGAATTAAGCCCCTGCTGTCCAGAGTACATCTAGAGACTGTCACACATGCTTTTGTTCTTTCAAGGCTCGACTACTGCAATGCACTGTATGCCGGCCTTAGTCAGGGTGCGGTAGCACACTTGCAGTTAGTACAAAACTCAGCCGCTAGGTTCGTGACAGGCACTAGGTGCAGGGAATATATCACCCCTGTGTTGGCATCCCTTCATTGGCTACCTGTGCAATACAGGGCAAAATTCAAGGTCTTGGTACTGGGCAATACAGGGCCTTACAAGGAACTGCTCCAGCATGTCTTGGCAACCATTTGCATGGACATGCCCCCTCGCGGGCCCTTCGCTCAGCCGGCAGGGAGCTGTTGATCATTTCACGCACTAAGTGCAGGTCACGGGGGGACCGTGCGTTCTCGGTGTTGGCACCTGCACTTTGGAACCAGTTGCCTTTGGTGGTGCGTCAGTCAACCTCATTGGGGTTTTTTAAGACTCGCCTTAAGACCCATTTTTTTGTCAAGGCATTCCAGGATTTGCCAATTTTACCCGGTTTCGATGCCCCGACCTCTTAATCTTTTTCTGGAGTTTATTTTTTGCTTTTACTGGTGTCACAGGGTGTTTCTCAAGGTCAAGGCGTCTGGCCTAGCAAGACGACGTCTTGCTAGGACTGGCGCCTTGCTTACGAGGACACTGTCCTAATTGGTCAAAGAAAATGGTTAAATGGAACAGACCTACATCATGTGACCACTGCTTCATGCCTTGGTGGTTCCTGATGATGTATCTCCTAGGCAACTGGGGTGGAACAAGGGCATCAAAGCGAGGTTCCTTGACATTGAGAAACACCCTCAATCTAGTTCTGTTGGCAACACAATCATGGGGAAGACTGATGATTTGGCAGTTGTCTAAAAGATGACCACTGACGTCTTGCACAAGGAGGGCAAGACACAAAAGGTCATTGCTAAAGAGGCTGGCTGTTCACAGAGCTCTGTGTCCAAGCACATTATTAGAGAGGCGAAGGGAAGGACGAGATGTGGTAGAAAAAAGTGTACATGCAATAGAGATAACTGCAACTTGGAGAGGATTGTGAAACTAAACCCATCCAAAATGTGGGGGAGATTCACAAAGAGTGGACTGCAGCTGGAGTCAGTGCTTCAAGAACCACCACACAGACGCAAAACAGGTTTCAGCTCTCACATTCCTCATGTTAAGCCACTCTTGAACAAGAGACAGCATCAGAAGTGTCTCACCTGGGCTAAAGACACAAAGAACTGGAGTGCTGCTGAGAGGTCCAAAGTTATGCTCTCTGAAAAAATTTCCATTTCCTATAGAAATCAAGGTCCCCGAGTCTGGATGAGAGGAGAGGCAGATAATCCATGTTGCTTGAGGTCCAGTGTAAAATTTCACAGTCAGTGATGGTTTGGAGTGCCATGACATCTGCTGGTGTTGGTCCATTGTGTTTTCTGAGGTCTAAGATCAAAGCAGCCGTCTACCAGGAAGTGTAAAGAGCACCTCATGCTTCCTGCTGCTGACCAATTTTATGGAGATGCAGACTTGGTGACAGGGCCTGGCATCTGCACACAGTGCCAAAGCTACCTATACCTGGTTTAAGGACCATTGTATCCCTGTTCTTGATTGGCCAGCATACTCATCTGATCTTAATCCCATAGAACATCTATGGGCTACAGTGGAGAGCAGCGATGGGACGTTCACGAATAAATCAAATCTTTTGAACTGGTTTTCAAAGTGAACAATGAGCGCCAAGTTATTGTTGAGAACCATTCATCCTGTCCACGAATAATGTGGGATTTTCATTAGTTGTCAGTTAAAATCATCAAAATTTTAAGAAATAAACATTTGAAATATATCAGTCTGTGTGTAATGAGTAAGTCTAATGTACAAGTTTCACTTTTTGAATGGAATTACTCAAATAAATCTAATTTCTATTCTAATTTTATGACCAGCACCTGTAAGTCACTGTTAACCTGGCAAGCCATCCTGTAGAACAAAATCTATCTCTATTGCTACGGGTTAAGTCACTGCTGCTCTCTTGGCCAGTTCTGGAAAGCTAGAAATTTCTGCTAAATTGCGTCATCCTGGAAAGCACAAATTTCAATAGATTGCTGAGTTTAACACGCGTGCTAGCTAAGCTCTCTCTCTCTCTCTCTCTCTGTGTGTGTGTGTGTGTGTGTGGTGCTGCCCAACTTGCATTTTCAAATGTCAGAAAGAGAGAGGGCAGCTCTGCTTTAATCTCCTGATTTCTGCCAGTCTGAGACACTGACCTTCACTTATGGATGGAGACTATTTTTAGATGACCTGAATCATGATGACTCTCTAACTTTTATCTGAGGTGCCAGAGTCAATATTTGTCAAGATATTTTTGCAATCCTGGCACTAGTGAACTGTTAGGACTGTCAGTTTCTACAAAAGGTATTTTTCTTCCAGTCTCTGACTTTTGCTGATAAACTTATTTTTTTAATTTATGTCTTAGTTAACATTTAAGTATCTCAATTGTGTGTGTGTGTGTGTGTGTGTGTGTGTGTACACTTGTCTTTATATGTTTAAGTGGACACATTTTAACTTTAACCTGTAGTGTGTGGACATTTTTCTGGTCCACACAAGGCTCAACACCCTAAAACGTGGTTTCAGAGGTATTAACTTTAGGTTAGTTTAAGTTTAGGTTAGGGATGGAACCCCATTGGCTATGGTTAGGGTATGTATGGAGTGGAGTCACTAAAATGAATGGTGTGACTGACTCATTTTTAAACTGACTATTGTATTTTATTTTATTTTGGATGGGTCTGATTTAATAACCATGTAAAATACACATATTTAACAAGATGCCGTTTGTTCTTGTTAAAACCCAAAACTTTATTTATTTGTTGTCTTGATTTCTCAGCTCACATGCTGAAATTTCCTTTTCAGCAAGCTGATCTCTTCATTTATGAAGGTCCATATCTCTTCATCTTCCCTTCATGGTCCTCACATTACATTCCTGATTTCTAAGTCTGGGAGTCTTTTAGATGTTTTTGGACGCTGTTGCCTGTTTATGTGAGAAACGTCTTTAGCCAACAGTGGCAGTCTTGTTAAAAAATCCTGGTTCAATCTTCCTGAAACATGCCGAAAACGTGGAGTTTATCTTTGTGAGGACTGTTTATCTCGGTTATGTTCATTTAGAGCTGGACTCCACCAAAGTTTTAAAACACCTTTAGCAACACCTGTAAATATCCAAACTACCATCTGAATGTTTTTGAAAATGTTTTTTTTTATTATTTCTTGTAACTGGATGATCACAAAACTCCTCAGTAGTTTTTCTTGGTCATGAAAACCTCAGAAGCAAATAAAGACTTGTAGAAATTGTGAGTTTGCCCTGAAAATAGTCTAAATTTAAGCTTATTATGCGATCAAGGTTTTGACAAAGTAGACTTAAGGTAAATGATTGTCTATCCCACCTAGCAGCCACGGCATGGGAGGAAACTTGTGTTTGATCCATCGGTTTGATCTGATCATGAGATCTACAGTTCCTCTGTGAGCTGAGTGAAAAACTTTATAATCAGGTCATTGTAACACTTCAACACTTTGTAATTTAGACATTTACATGAAGCGGGTGTCATTTGGTGTAGCACAGCTTTTATTGGCTTCACTGCAGCGCCGTTCCCTTTAAGCAGAAGACTTCAGCTGATATTGAAGGGTGTAGTTGATCATTTACAAGCTGGTCTCGTTTATCTGGGAAAGTGATGCTGTCAGGCAGCACTTCACTTCCTGCTAGGAAACAGTGTGCACCTTTCTGCTTCGGACTCAGCTGCTTTTAGAGGAACCATCCAGCCTCAGTGCAGGTGAGTCACATTTCCTCATGTCGCCAACACAATAAACACATTTTTATTTTACATTTTACTTTCTGCATGTATTTTCGGATGATTTTCTATGTACCGCAGTGATAAAAGCACACACGTGATGCTACAGATGTTTGAAACCATCAAATCAAAAACAGTGTGCAGTGGTTTGGGGTTGTTGGTTTCATCCAAGCGGACAAAATTAGTTTTAAAGTAAATTTGAAAACCAAAATGAATTTAGATAAGTTGTCAACCTGCTGTGATTAAAGCATCAGTATCTGTGACCCACAAACAGAAAAGAGCTAAGTTCAGCCATCCTTATCTCACAAGTCATAAGTGATGTGTCAAGCAGACAAACGTGTGTGTGTTTAAGGTGAGTTCATCACTGATGTCATGTTGCAGACGGGACCATCTCCACCCTGAAGATCCACAGTGTTGGGATCCTCTCGGCACATTTAGAGCACTGGTGTTTACACTGGAGCAGATAGAAACAACCATGTATACGAGCTGTCACAAGGTGAGAATGACACACACACACACACACAGTGGGATGTTTAGAAACATTGAACGGGACAAACTTTATTTGTCTCGTTTCTGCTAGAAAAGTAACTTATCATAATAGTATTATTGCTCTTTATTTTTCTAATATTCAAGGAAAGCTTGTGTCTACGTCGAAGGCGTGAGACATTTTACTGTTTCAAGAAGCAAAGCAGTTACATTTGTTTGCAAGATTTCCTTTTTAAAAAAACTTTTCTAATTTCCTCCAGCTGAGCTGCTAACATTTCATCTCTGTAGGAGCCGCTGCAGCCGTGCACGTCCACCAGCAGGCGAGACTGGCACTGCCCCGTCTGCCTGCAGACGGCCACGTTCCCCGTCCAGACCAACTGTGGACATCTGTTCTGTGGTATGAGCTCTTTCTGGCTGATATTATTTTACATCACACTACCGTTTACTCTTGCACTGTCATGTGAACTTTTCAGCTTTTGACCCACAATTGCTGGTTAAAGTATACCAACATTTCCAGTATGGCACCAAACTAAGAGCCTGATCACCCATTATGTTAAATTTTATGGTTTCTTTATTTGTAAGAGTAAAGACTAAGCAATCATTTTTGAGATCTAATTTTGAAGGTCATCCAAAGATGACCTAAGGGGACATAAAGCAGACGTTAAATCTTGGTTCAGCAAAGGAAGTCGTGCTGTTGGTTTACTTGAAAAATCCCAGTAACTTGTTGCCATTAAATATTGACAATAACTTTTGGATTCTAAGTCAAACAAGAGCATGAACGTAATTTTGGGGGGGGGGGGGGAGGGGGGGGGGACAGGGGGGACATGCCCCCCCCCCCCCCCACACACACACACACACATTTTTTCCAAAGTCAAGTTTTGACCCCTGCATTTTTTACCATCCAAAAGCAACATTACGCTATATTAAATTGACACTGGTTGAGCTCTAGGACCAAGCGGAAAACAACTGTTTGTGTTGAAGGCTGTTTCCAATTAGAGCATACTGTAAAGATACTCCCCCCCACTTCTAAAGTGAAAATTACACCCATGAACAAGAGCAATAAGGTTAATGCCGGAGCCTGACTGAAGCCAGTGCTGTCATGTAGAGACAGGTTCTAGTTCTGGTGTTGGACAAGAACTCCTCATTCCTGTTTAGATACACCTGAGAGTTAAAGATTATGTTTATGGCACAAATGCACTTCTGTCTAGCCTTGACGTGTGTGGTTCACTAATTACAGCACGTTGACCGTAACACCAAGGCTCTGCGCCTCAGCAGCAGCCTGCCACACATATTCAGGCCATGATCACCCAAAACCACCTCTCCATTCTCATAAAAATTCTGCTACGCCACCTTATTTTTTGATGATTTTCTATTATTTGTAATGTAAAGGGTCTTAAAAGATGTTTATATTTTTGGCAGCCACCTGTCTGCTCACCTACTGGAAACACGGCTCATGGTTAGATGCGATCAGCTGTCCTCTCTGCAGACAGAAGGTAGGGTCCACAGAAAGACTCCTCTGTAAATCACGAACACATTCTAAGGTGCAATAAAAAGGACTTTTTTAGGTCAGCAAGCTGTGTAACCTGTTCAAGGAGAGTCGATCTGACCAGCAGTCTAAGAAGGTTCTTGGAGAAATCACCGACTACAATAAACGCTATTCTGGAGCTCCATGGAGGGTCAGTCTCGTAATCAGAGCCACAGCTCGCAGTAACATCAGAAAAAACCAAAGGGTTTGGCTACAGAAATATTCCTTCTTGTTCCAATAACAAAAATAACTTCGGACAAAAGGAGGATTAGATTCACACCCAGCTCCTGATCTCCTTCATACTCTTATGACTAAATCAACACCAAACACTTAGAAACTTTAGATCAGGAACATTTTGATCTGATTTTATCTCCCCTGCTTCCTTCAGGTGACCGACTACCTCTGTGACACCCCCCTCCTTCTGCAGCTTCTAGCCCGCGGTCTGGGCACCATGGGTGGCCTGGTGTGGTTGTTTCTCTTCAGGGTGGCCCTGTGCTGTGTGGGGGCTGTGGTGTCCCTTTCCTCTCCACCTGCAGACACTTTGTCCCCCTCATCCAGCTCCCTGGAATCTGACCCTTCCGTCTGCGGGCTGCTGGGGGTCCTGGATGATCTGGTGGTGGTCATCCTGCTCCTCATGTGTGTCGTTAACATCAACCAGCAGATGGAACCAGAAAGAGGACAGCGCTCTCCCAACGGGCCCACCTTACAGGGAGTGATGGGGAGCTCTCTGTAGGTAGTGCCAGCGTCACCATAAGCTGTTAGAAACGGACTTCTATTAGATTTTTACTCATCTGTAGTTAGTGTGTGGGAGAATATTGAGCTTAAGTTTGGAGGTCAGACATTGGACTCCACAAGTGTTTACAGAGCTTATGTAAGGGTGATATCTAAACTTCAAGGTATGCAGCACGGCGGTCCAGCTGTAGTTACAAACACTCAGGTTCCTGAGCTGTGGCCTTTTTAAAGCTCTCCTTACATTTTCAGTGATTTTCAGACTCATGTCGTGTCTCATTGAGATTCCTGTAAATATGTAATATTGTTTTCACGGCTAAAATAAAGAATATTTATTGTCTGATATTGCTTGTTTTAAATAATTGCACAAGACCGTTTTAATTGATTTATTAGAAAGTTAGGCCTGAATGTTTCAAAGGTGCTCGTCTGATAATGTCAGGTTACCTGATTAGTGACTTGTTGTTTTTCTGAGATATGAAAAGGTCGTCGCTCTTCAGCCGGCTCACAGCAGTGATGCATTAGCATCACAGCAGGAGAAAATGTGTTCGATAATTACTTCAACACTGTTGTTAATCTGTGTTGCTGCACCAGGCAGCAGCGTTCTTGAACATGCTCAGCCAGGGGGATGGGGCGAGTGAAGGCCTCAGGCCCCTCGGGGCCCAGGGCCACTGCCAGCCCAGGGTGCAGCGTTCTGGGTGGGGCATCATGGCTAGGTGTCTCCCATCCTGGGAGCACAGCCCCGCAATACCCTGTGGGGAGCCGTTAGGGTTCAGTGGGTACTCTTCAGTGGGATGACCCTGGTCGTCAAGGTAACGGATGGGAGCAAGGCTACTAGAAATAATCCGGTTTTGGACCTGGGAGTTCCGGAATTGCATTAAACCTGCAGGAGAGAAAGGGGAGGAGCCGCTGGTTAAAGAACATCCTGATCTCTGAGATGAGTCAGTAAAGCGGGCTGGTGTCAGTAAAAACCATCACAGCAACCGACCCGCCAGTTACAGAACATCTCACTTCCAACAGATCCGACCCGGTTCTGGTCCTACCTTCTCCATGTGCGACCCACACTCCCAGAGCAGAACCCTCCATGCCTCTGAGCCAGATGGACGGGGACTTCTGGATCCCGACGCTGACGAAGCGGGACTCAAACCTGCCAGACTTATTATGGGTCAGCACCACATCAGAGTCTGGTTAGAGGAAAATGACCCAAGAATCATAAAATAAAGGTAAGTTGAACTGATTTCAGCATCTGTCGTTTCCTCTTACTTGCTCCATCCTCAGACTGTCCCACCCAGCCCAGCAGGGCGAGCAGCTGACAGCCGTTACACACTCCCAGACTCAGCGTGTCCTCTCTCTGCTGGAAGTGATCAAATGCAGCCTTAGCCTTGGGGTTGTAGGCTACAGTTGCAGCCCAGCCTTCAAAGATGATACAGTCAGCATCTCCGAGTCATCTGTGTCTGAGTCTTCGAGTGCTTTTGTACCTTTAGCTGATCCCAGGACGTCTGCGTAGCTGAATCCCCCAACAAACACGACAGCTTTGAACGGCTGGAGGGTTAACGAGCCAGAGCACAGGTCCTGCATGGTAACATCCCAGACCTGCACAACCACAACTCTAAGCTTAAATTAAAAACTGAAAGTAGACAGATTTAACTTGGCATGAAATGACTCATGACCTGAAAACCCGCCATGAAGAGAGACACAGACATCTCCCTGTCTCCGTTGCTGCCCTCCTCTCTGACCACAGCAACTCGTGGAGAACCTGCAGCTGGAAGGAAACGCGTTTAAACATCACTTTTTAAAGAACAGAGGCCAAAAATCACAGAGATCTAAATACTGGTGCTGGTCTTACTGAACTGGTGGACATCGGGCGTTTCTAAAGGGTTAAAGGTCAGCTTGAAAAACGGCTGTGTTCTCTTTAAAAGCCCCTCCTCTTCTTGTTTCACACAGAGCTCATTAGCCTGGTGGCGCTCCAGCTGGAAGCTTGTATCCTCCCATACTGCTCTGAGGCCAGCCAGCGATTCGTTCAGAACCTCCTGACCATCCACTTGGACTTGCACCTGGAACATGACAACTACTAAAGGGTGGACAGAAAAGGGATTTAGGTTCACTTCCTGCTAAAAAAGGATGCCTCACCAGTGCTTCTGGTCCAAAACCACAGGTTCTTCCGATACGACGACACTCCACGCCTGCTTCACTGTATCTCCGTTGAACCGTTTCCAGATCAGACTGTGAAACCTCCAGAACCAAGCCCAGCTCTTCGCCGAACAGCAGCTCCATGACTGTGCAAAAGCACAGCTTTAGTTGACTTATAAACACAAACCATCAGGGAATTAAAACTAATTGACATAGTAACTCCGTTACTTCCAAATCCCGCTGACGACAGCTCAACGTCAACGCCGCGATTTCCTGCAAACGCCATCTCCAACAGGCAGGAAATGAGGCCTCCATCGCTGATGTCATGCCCTGCACTGAGCAGACGGTCTGAGGCGACCAAAAATAGATTTTTATTTCTTTAGAGTCAACATGAAAAAATAAACCGGCTATTTGGGTGAAATGCAAACGATAACCACCAGGTGACAGTATGGTCTTTCTAAAAGCTGCATCAGAAGATCAGAGTTTACATGAAGTTACCCTGTATGAGCCACTGAGTGGTGTTAAAGCAGGCAGATAACACCCCGGGCTGGTCCAGGTCAGGAGAGCTATCTCCCAGCTGGCTGTAGCACTGAGCCAAGGCAGAACCTCCCAAACGCTGATGACCTGGGCTCACAGGAACCCACAGCAACACACCTGCAGACACACAGATTTTTATTTTTGTTTAGTTAATTTCAAACAACACAAAAACAAAAACAAAACAGATCATACAGTGAGTGGATGATGTAAATTTAAGTGTTTGAGAAGTTGTTGTGCACAGCAAAGCTGTTCCGGATTCTACAAGTTCTGTTTGAATCATTGCAACCCAGAATCGACTCTAGATGGTTTTATGTAGGCAGCTTTGTGGTTTTATCTGTCGGCATGTTGTACCTTTACCATCTGGATCATCGAGATCAGGCGTTACCGTGGCGGTGATGTCAGGGCAAACGGCGTATGCAGAAATAACCAGCGCACCTGACAGAGAACCAGAGCCGTGTTTACCTACACAACACACTAACAACAGCTACATTTGTCATGAAATAGTAGATTCAAACAAGCTGCAGCAAAGTAAGAACTATGGGAATAATCAAGCATGAAGAAGTAGGAAAAACATGATCTAAAGAGTTTAAATTAAAAAATGCTAGAAGTCCCTTTGTGTTTATGAAGAAGGGAACTGCAGCCAGCCACCAGGAGGCATTTCAGCTCCTTTTGGCTTCACCTCCAGATATTGCAGTTGTTGGTTACACACACACACACGCGCACACACACACACACACACCTGGAGCTTTGACGGTTTCTTTCCCGACTCTCGCTGCCATACTCAAGGAGTCCTTGCCCCCATCGATGGCGACTCCCAGCTGACCCATGACCTCACACATGGCTCTGCAGGCCTCCCACAGACACGCTCCCTCCCCAGGAAGCTTAGCGGCCCACATCCAGTTACCGCTACACTTCACATCCTGAAACACAAAAGCAAAATAAATATGCGTGTCATCAGCAACCTGTGGCATAAAATGGATCTGCGTTTTTCACCTTTAGCGCCGTGACTCTGGCAAACACCAGATTGGTCAGAGCCTCCCCGACGGCCATGCGAGCCCCTGCTGCTGGACAGAGCAGCCCTTTGATTGGCTGCTCCCCGATGGCCGTCGCTGCTCCCTCCAGGCCGAATGGAGACAGAGCAACAACAGCCACGTCGGCCAATGGGGTGTGAAGAGGCCCAACACACTGTTGCTGGGCAACCAGCCCAGTCACAGACCGGTCCACCTAATCGAAAGGGAGCGTGAGGACGTAGAGTCGCAAAATGTCAGCAGGAGTATGTTTCAAGGCAAATAACAACGAATCAACCACCTTGTTGGTGAGGTAGCGCTTGGAGGCGACGGCGGGCAAGCGTAGAACCCGCTGCAGAGCGTCTCTGACAGTCAGCTCAGCAGGAAGGTTGAGTGGGGGATGAGTAACAGCCAGTGTCTCCATCTTAAACTCCTTCTGTGGCATCTTGCCCAGAACCCACTCTAGCTGAAGGTCGACGGGGTGGCGCACTCCATCAGGTTGTTCGCCTGCCTCATCATCCACCAGCACAACCTGTAGGAGAAGAGTCAGGCTGCGGAGGATGCCTCACACGAACAACCCGACCACAGGATTTAAACTAGGGCTGGGCGATATGGCAAAAATAGAATATCACGATTTCGATTTTATCACGATTTTATCCATGAATAGCAGAACTTCAATTGCGTATTAAAGAAGAGAAACATTGAATAAATAAACATTTATTCATATTAGGGATAATCAACACAGTGCTAACACACTTATATTTTAAACTCACACCAGAGATGATAAAAGCCCTGAGAGAAGCAATTACAAAAATCAGTTTTTCTCGTTTTTCAAGTAACTTAACATAAATTTAAATCGTAAACATATTTAAAGTGCAAACATGTCAATTGCAAACGTATTGTGCAAACATTAACTTGTTCAAAATACTATGTAGCTCCCAGTTGCTCATGTAGTGGATAGTTAAGCTCAAATATGGCTCTGATGTGCGGCTGGACCAGAGATCGCTTGCGGTAGCAAAAAACTGCGCATTCTGAATATTTTCTGCAACTCTCACTTTGCATTCAGCGTACATGCGTGGAATGGCTGTGTTCGAAAAATACTTGCGGCTGGAAAACTCGTAGCGCGGATCCAATGTTTTTATCATTTTCTTAAATCTCACTCCTCCTGTTCACACGGGACACAAATCTTTAACCAAGTGGTACGTCACTGCATCTGTCACGCTGTTCCATCGTCTGCTGTCTCTGTCGTGGGGAGTGAGTTTTGTGTGTTTGTTAGTGTTTGCTGCCTGGAAGAAGCACTAGCCGCTGCTGCTGTAGCTGCAGGCTTTTTAGCTCTAGCTGCCAGCTGGCTCTCATTGTATTGTTTGGGGTGCCTTCTTTTTAAGTGATTAAACAAGTTTGTGGTGCTGCCATCACTTGCCTTGATGCTCTCCTTGCGAACTTTGCAAATGATGTTTTGCTGCTCTTTGTCATTTGGTGAAAAACCAACCCAGCTCCATATAATGGACGAGGCGTTCCTCTTCGGAACGAAAACCTCGTTGTCGCTCTCAGCCGCGGCCGAAGCCATGTTTGTTCACACACAGGTGAAAACAAGCGGGGCACTAATATATTACTATGACTCACTCTGATTGGTTAAGGGTCAAACAAAGGCGTGTCATTCGCCTGAGGTAAGTTCCCTTTTCATTCAGAGGCAGAATTTCAACAGCAGAGCTGTGAATCGTGATGAAAAGGTCTCTCAAAAATGACAGACCGTCAGATGTGTAGATCGTAAAACGGTCTAAAATCGTCATATCGCCCAGTCCTAATTTAAACTCAGACCGACCTTCCCATCTCCTGTGATGTATCCCACAAAGTCAGCAGGACACTTCTCCCTCTGACAAACCCTCTCTAGGAAGGATCTGTCGGACGGACGCAGCAGAAGAGCGTTGCTCTCCTGATACTCAGCCCCCCACAGCTCCAACACACTCAAGGTGGGATCACCTTTCTACAAAGACAAACAGTGAGAATCACCAACGGGTGACAAAAGCAACATGTTATTTTTAAAAGATACAGAATTTTTAGGTCATTACTTTAAATCTGTTGCAGTAGATTACAGCTCCTGCCGGTTCGCTCAGCTCCTTCAACACGTTACCTAAAGAATAGATTTCAGCTCTACACCTTCAGCTTGCTCTAGTTTGTGTAAATCCAACATGAATGTGCTACTTGGTACCATTCCCTCCAGCTCCCTGATCATGAATACTGCAGATCGGATTCCCGTCGGATCTTTCCAAACACGCCCTGAGAGCCCGATTCATCTTCTGCTCCATCTCAGCATCTCCCCTCTGGACTGCCCCCAGATCTCTATTGCTGCAGTTATCCCCTTGGACCTAAAGACACACACACACACACACACACACACACACACACACACACACACACACACACACACACACACACACACAAATATAAGTAACAACACAACGTTCAGGTACCGGTTTAGTGTATTGTGAGTACTTGAACAGACGAGGCCGCTCCTCCACCGACACCGATCCGGTACACCGGCCCTCCGATCTTCACCACCTCCATCCCTTATTGACACCAGCAGCAGAGAGCCAGTTATGGATTATAAAAACAGCTCCAGGATTCATGGAAGTCAGACACTCGGGAGGTAAAGTGTTACCGGGTTCTGCCTCTTCTTTCTTCACGTGTGCGTCTTCAATAGACCCGAGACCACCACTGAACATGATGGGCTTGATCCACTCTCGTCGCTCCCCGTTAGCCAACCGCATCCCAAAGGAACGAGCGAAACCTGGAGGGTGGAAGCAAATCCTTATTGTAATAAAACGATTCATGAACACAACAAACAAGTTTCCTGCAACAGTGGATCAGATCTAAAACTTTTCTCCTGATTTTACTCAGAGTCACACAAAAAAAAGACTGGTTACATCTAATTCGAGAAAGGCTGTAGTGATGTTTTTACCAGCCAGCACAGGTTCTCCAAACTTGTTGCCGTAGTCTGACGCTCCATCACTGGCTTCGATGGCAACCTGCAGAGGAGGGGCGAAGCTGGAAGGATACTCCCACCCTTCTCCATCAGATTCCCAGGGAAGCTTGTATCCTGGAGGAAGGATTGTTCATTATCAGCCGGATAAAGTCATTTATTTTTCTATCGTTGCTGTGAAATGTTCTTCTCTGCAGACACTTTCCACTCAATGCGAGACAAACTGAACCATCTGTTGGTTTTGGACATGAAGGTATCTGGTGATACTGTGACCAATCAGAAGCCTGGATCCGAAGACCAATAGCATTATAAAATAAAATAAAAACTGTTATAAATAAACTAGAAAAGATGTTTACTGCAGCCAAAGGAAGGATATCTGTAAAAAATACTCAAATGCGTCATTTCTACAACTATAATCCAGAAACTTGGAGCAAGCATTTTGCATTGTTGTGATACAAAACTTTTTTAATTAAAAAAACATTTCATTAAAAAGATCTATTTAATTGATCACAGCCTTTAATTCCGGGATTGATTTTTATTTTGTTAGTAACTTCTACTTTTAGTCAGTTGTAAATGTTAAAAATGCTGACAAGGCTACTCTGATGATCCTAACTATCCCATCTCCGAGTCCCACAGCGTGTTGACCTGGTATGTACAGGTTTCCGAAGCAGTATCCCGCCGTTCCAGCGATGACGTGTCCTCCTCGTCCAGCGCTCTGAACGTCTCTGATACGTCCTCCAGTCCCCGTGGTGGCGCCACTGAACGGAGCAACTCCTACCACGACCATTCAGATGGGCTTGAGCATCAGGATAAGGATAACAACATAAATCTACTTTTATGCGTCCTGACCAGTTGGGAAGTTGTGTGTCTCTGCAGTGAAGATGACATGTCGCAATGAGCGCCGGGTTTCGTACGGGCTCGCTTGAGACGGATCTTTAGAGTAAATACACTCGAGTTCTGTGCCTCTGATGCCACTGAACACACAGAAACACACAGAGTCAGCACAGACACAATCTCGCCCACAGCATCTGGCAGAGGTGCCGTTTCCAACACAACCTGCTGTTGTCGCAGAACTTGATGACATTGTTCTGGTTGCTGTGCCGCTGGGTGTCCATTATGAGGCTGAAAAGAGTCTCCTCCTGCTCCTGCCCATCGATCACCATCCGCCCTCGGAAGAACCAGTGACGGCTGTGCTCGCTGGGGGCAACACACACACACACACACACACACAGCGATAAAACACAGCAGACCTGAGAAATTCACTCACAACACAAAGCTCACTGCAGACCTGTTGGACTGGGCTAGGTCAAAGCACTCAACGCTGGTGGGGTTCCTCTTAATTCTCTGGAACATTGACGTGTAGTAGTCTAGATCCCAGGAGTCAAAGGCCAGACCTGCAACACACACACACACACACACACACACGAATCCAAAGCAAAGAGGCACAAAACTGCACAATAAGACTGTGAGCAAAAGCAGAACATTTTTATGAATTTAAAGGAGATATATTATGTCTGGGAGGGGCCCAGAATAGAGCTGCTGCTGGAGCTCCTCTAGCTACAGCTCTCTTTTGCATATGAGAAGTGATTCTATTCTAATTTCCTTGTTTGTGACATCACAAACGGGGATTTTGTGAAATGGCTTGTTTTGCACATTATTCTTAAAGCCAGTCATTGACAGAAAACGCACGGATGGATTTCATTCACATTTGAAGTGTTGATAGAGGCAGCAGAGACATGCAGCAGCACAAAAAGATGCAAAAGGTGAGTTTTGCATGATATTTCCTTTTAATTGAACAAGTAGAACACTCGTACAGGGTTTCCCCCAGAAAACAAGTTAAGCCTTTTTGCACACGTTACTGTCGCACACTCTGTCCCACAGCTCTCCTCTGGGGGGAGTGGGGAAGGGGGGTGGGGTGGGGTGCTCCTGCTAATTCTCACCAGTATCAGCTGATGGAAGGCTCTAGTGTCGTTGCGCCGTTCGTTTCAGCGGACACGGTAGGGTCGGGGAGGGGGTGGGGCATGACGCTTAGCCTGGCGGGTGGCCATGCAAAGCCTGGCGGCCCGCCAGGCTTACAAGGCGCTGGGGAAAACCCTGCTCATTTATACCAAAAATGATCATTGCATGCAGCTAGACACGACGGAGCTTGTGAAGATCATACAGCACCTGTCCTTTTCCTTTTTCCACATTAGAACAAGTTGTTTGGGATAGTTTTTTTCTCCTTAATGATTAAATTGTGCATTTGTTATTTGTTTGTTTGCTGACCTGACCATTTTAATTGACAAAAAATTAAAGGGATACTAGACAGTTTTGCTTGCTATTAGCACCCCCTAGTGACCATTATTAATAATCTGTGGACAAAGCTAAAGTGAAATTTCTCTCGTTGCTCTGAGTTAATCTTTTCAACACCTTAATCTAACAGCTGAAATGTCTCCTCAGTCTTCATTAGTGTCTACAGGAGCGATTCATCACTGAGGCCTAGTCCACACGTAGCCGTTTTTTTTTTAAACGAATATCCGCCCCTCCAAAAACTTGCATCCACACCACCTCGTTTTAAAACAAAACTCTGTCCACACGTACCCGGATAAATACGTTGTTAAGGACATGCCAGACCTGTAGGCGGCAGTACTTCCCCGTTCTTAACCTCGTCCTTCGTCTGTGGTCTTCCGCAAGGAGCAGTAATTCCACTTGCAAAAACAAACGAGCAAAAAGCGCTTGGACAATTGATAAAGCGAGCGCAGCTCTGAGGGCATCCATGCTGTTGGCTAGTGTAAACACAGGTCGCACACGTGATGTCAGCATTTTTTTGTCGCAGAAAGTGACGTTGCGGACCTTAAAACTCCGGTTTTGTCTGTCCACACGCAGACACCCAAAACGGAGAAAACGCAGATCTTCACTTTGGCCGAAGTTTTTAAAAAGATCCGTTTTCGTGTGAAAAAAAACTCCGTTTTCGTGTGGATGACAGACCAAAACGTAGAAAAATATCTACGTTTTGGCAGATCCCCGGCTACGTGTGGACAGGGCCTGATTCAAACAAATCAGCTATGGTCACCATCTAAGGCCTAGTCCACACGTAGCCGGGTTTTTAAAAAACGAATATCCGCCCCTCCAAAAACTTGCATCCACACCACCGCGTTTTAAAAAAAAACTCTGTCCACACGTACCCGGATAAATACGTTGTTAAGGACATGCCAGACCTGTAGGCGGCAGTACTTCCCCGTTCTTAACCTCGTCCTTCGTCTGTGGTCTTCCGCAAGGAGCAGTAATTCTGCTTGCAAAAACAAACAAGCAGAAAGCGCTTGGACAATTGATAAAGCGAGCGCAGCTCTGAGGGCATTCATGCTGTCGGCTAGTGTAAACACAGGTCGCACACGTGATGTCAGCATTTTTTTGTCGCGGAAAGTGACGTTGCGGTCCTTACAACTCCGGTTTTGTCTGTCCACACGCAGACACCCAAAACGGAGAAAACGCAGATCTTCACTTTGGCCGAAGTTTTTAAAAAGATCCGTTTTCGTGTGAAAAAACTCCGTTTTCGTGTGGATGACAGGCCAAAACGTAGAAAAATATCTACGTTTTGGCAGATCCCCGGCTACGTGTGGACAGGGCCTAAAACATGGAGGAAACGTGCTGGAAGCTGATTCCAGCTCCCTCCACCAACAGAGCAAGTGTGATATTCTGGCCACAGAGGGCGGTGGGTTTTAGGGCTGGACCATATAGAAAAAAATCTCATCATTAAAAAAGAAATTCTTATTGATCGATCAATATCAACAATTATTGATAATTATTAGAAATATGTAGAAAATACATTTTAAGTGCAGCCCTGGCCATTTTATGTTCTTACTTTATGATAAAATAAGTTGGTTGCATTACCAGACTTGTTTTTTATTGATTATCTGCAAATTTTTCAAACCATTGTTTGTTTTTGTCAGACTTAGCTACACTGGTGAAGTACTGCAACCTTTTCGGGACAATTTATTTCACCTCTGCTTGCTGCAACTATCTTGCTCTTGTCTAAGGCCTAGTCCACACGTAGCCGGTTTTTTTTTTAAAAACGAATACCCGCCCCTCCAAAAACTTGCATCCACACCACCGCGTTTTAAAAACAAACTCTGTCCACACGTACCCGGATAAATACATTGTTAAGGACATGCCAGACCTGTAGGCGGCAGTACTTCCCCGTTCTTAACCTCGTCCTTTGTCTGTGGTCTTCCGCAAGAAGCAGTAATTCCGCTTGCAAAAACAAACAAGCAGGAAGCGCTTGGACAATTGATGGATCGGGTAGTGACAGAGCTTAGCTCTGAGGGCATTCATGCTGTCGGCTAGTGTAAACACAGGTCGCACACGTGATGTCAGCATTTTTTTGTCGCGGAAAGTGACGTTGCGGTCCTTAAAACTCCGGTTTTGTCTGTCCACACGCAGACACCCAAAACGGAGAAAACGCAGATCTTCACTTTGGCCGAAGTTTTTAAAAAGATCCGTTTTCGTGTGAAAAAAACTCCGTTTTCGTGTGGATGACAGACCAAAACATAGAAAATTATCTACGTTTTGGCAGATCCCCGGCTACGTGTGGACAGGGCCTAAAACATGGAGGAAACGTGCTGGAAGCTGATTCCAGCTCCCTCCACCAACAGAGCAAGTGTGATATTCTGGCCACAGAGGGCGGTGGGTTTTAGGGCTGGACCATATAGAAAAAAATCTCATCATTAAAAAAGAAATTCTTATTGATCGATCAATATCAACAATTATTGATAATTATTAGAAATATGTAGAAAATACATTTCAAGTGCAGCCCTGGCCATTTTATGTTCTTACTTTATGATAAAATAAGTTGGTTGCATTACCAGACTTGTTTTTTATTGATTATCTGCAAATTTTTCAAACCATTGTTTGTTTTTGTCAGACTTAGCTACACTGGTGAAGTACTGCAACCTTTTCGGGACAATTTATTTCACCTCTGCTTGCTGCAACTATCTTGCTCTTGTCTAAGGCCTAGTCCACACGTAGCCGGGTTTTTTTTTAAAAACGAATACCCGCCCCTCCAAAAACTTGCATCCACACCACCGCGTTTTAAAAACAAACTCTGTCCACACGTACCCGGATAAATACATTGTTAAGGACATGCCAGACCTGTAGGCGGCAGTACTTCCCCCGTTCTTAACCTCGTCCTTCGTCTGTGGTCTTCCGCAAGAAGCAGTAATTCCGCTTGCAAAAACAAACAAGCAGGAAGCGCTTGGACAATTGATGGATCGGGTAGTGACAGAGCTTAGCTCTGAGGGCATCCATGCTGTCGGCTAGTGTAAACACAGGTCGCACACGTGATGTCAGCATTTTTTTGTCGCGGAAAGTGACGTTGCGGACCTTAAAACTCCGGTTTTGTCTGTCCACACGCAGACACCCAAAACGGAAAAAACGCAGATCTTCACTTTGGCCGGAGTTTTTAAAAATATCCGTTTTCGTGTGAAAAAACTCCGTTTTCGTGTGGATGACAGGCCAAAACGTAGAAAAATATCTACGTTTTGGCAGATCCCCGGCTACGTGTGGACAGGGCATAAGTCACACTGCTGTCTGTTCATGTGAGAGGGGAGGGCTTGGTGATGGAGCGTGCTCATGTCTGTGTTTTTGATTGGTTGGGTGTAAGTAATGACTAGTTTGAAGCTACTCGATAGGCAATGATGGAGAAAGGAAACTTTTTATTGATCCATTTTTTTCCCTATTGAATGATATATATCGTTACTGCATTATTGTCCAGCCCTAGTGGGGTGCCAAGTGGAGTGCCATTTCAAAAATCTTGTAAAAGAGTAATTTTAGCACATACTAGCTCAAGAAAAGGATTAAAAAATATGAAAAAGTTACCTAGTATGGCTTTAAAAACAGAACAAATCTGTAAGAGGGGCAAATACATGCTCACTGACTTAAGATTCTTTTATGAACTGTGTGTTCATCATACTGATCATCTGATCAATAAACTCACTCTCCATTTTAGGGTTTTGTCAGATCAACACAACAGACACGTGTCAAATAATGAGCAGCATCACTGCTGTCTTGTGACTTTAATGCCATGCACCATGTGACACAGCTGCCTCCTCCATCACACAGCGTACTTACTGATAGCTGCAGGACTGAGAGAGAAAGCGTGAAGTGAAGAGAAACACGTCACAGCGCGTTAAAATATACAGCTGCTGGATTTAAGCAAGAGAAGAGAGAAAAGTGTTAGGAGTCTCACCCAGTTCATCGTTCGCCCTCTCCAAGGCACTGCGACCTTTCCCCAAGATGTCCACCTCAAACACAGCCTGAGGTTTGGTTTCCACGGTGAAGGACATGATGGGGTGTTGGTACACACACTCGGTCATGCTGTCATGCAGACACTCGATCACCTTCTTTACGTCTGCTCCGAGCTCGCTCACGCTCTGTCCATTCTTGGGCTGGAGAGAAGACAGACGAGTTACGGATGAAGAGACGGCTCTGTTTGAACTCCGCAGAGAGTTTTCACACCTTGATGAGAAACCTGCGAGATAACTCGACTCGAGTGACGTTAGCGAGGCCGGCGCTCTGGCAGATGGACACAGCGTTAGTGGACCAGGCAGTGGAGAAATTCAACCTGAAAATGCAGCAACATTGTGTTGGAAAGCCTGAACGCTGGACAAATCCAGCCCTTAAAGTAAAACGAAAGGTCTGAGTCAGTCATGCAGCACACAGGAAGAACAGAAATCTACTAAAATCTGTTTTTTCTGTTCTAGTTTTGACTTTCAGGATGTCCACCCTCCAGGGTCGTTCATGGGAATATTCACTACAAGTCCAGGATGGATTTTCAGATCCTCTCCTTGAGAATAAATGAAATTTATAGGCTGATTATTTTACTAAGAGTATATTTAAGATGGTAACCTGCCAGAATTTGAACTCATTAGTCCGGTTGGGCATCGAGCATCGATTGGAAACGGGACCAACTGTTAGTTTTCCCAGAAAAGTTTTTTATTTCAATTCCTAGAATGCCGACCGGAAGAGGAATCTGCGGCCGATCTCCTTGAAAAATAAACGTGATCTGCGAATTCTGATCAACGCTTTTCAGTAGGGATGTCCCGATCAGGTTTCTTTGCCCTCGAGTCATTTGATTTCAAGAATCTGCCGATACCGAGTCCCGATCCGATACTTTTGACACATTAAATAAAAGAAAGAAAAGGAAGAAACAGTTCCAGAATGCTCCTTATTTTTTATTTAATTACATTTTAATTTTTAACAGATCACTTCTGTGAGGTAGCTTGAACAATCAAGTAATAAATAACATAAGTTCTTCACTTTTGGACTTTATTGCAAACATAAAAAGTCTAATATAAAAGCAGATAGCACTTCAACTTAAAATAACTGGCAGGGGGCTACTTTGCCTCGGCCCCCAAAATGCTTAGATACGCCCCTGGGCATGGGACGGAGGTTTGAAGATGATCTGAACTGTATCAACTATATAAATACTACATGCTGATAGGTTATTGCTTTATACAGGTACAAACGTGTAATGGGATCACTCTACCTACATTTTATTTTTGAAGAACTTTGTTTTGTTTTCTTGGTTTTTATTTTCCCGTCTTCCTGTCCTGTCTGTCTCGGGTCTTCCTGTCCTGTCTGTCTCGGGTATTCCTGTCCTGTCTGTCTCTGATCTTCCTGCCCTGTCTGTCTCTGGTCTTCCTGTCCTGTCTGTCTCTGGTCTTCCTGTCCTGTCTGTCTCTGGTCTTCCTGTCCTGTCTGTCTCTGGTCTTCCTGTCCTGTCTGTCTCGGGTCTTCCTGTCCTGTCTGTCTCGGGTCTTCCTGTCCTGTCTGTCTCTGGTCTTCCTGTCCTGTCTGTCTCTGGTCTTCCTGTCCTGTCTGTCTCTGATCTTCCTGCCCTGTCTGTCTCTGGTCTTCCTGTCCTGTCTGTCTCTGGTCTTCCTGTCCTGTCTGTCTCTGGTCTTCCTGTCCTGTCTGTCTCTGGTCTTCCTGTCCTGTCTGTCTCTGGTCTTCCTGTCCTGTCTGTCTCGGGTCTTCCTGTCCTGTCTGTCTCGGGTCTTCCTGTCCTGTCTGTCTCTGGTCTTCCTGTCCTGTCTGTCTCTGGTCTTCCTGTCCTGTCTGTCTCTGATCTTCCTGCCCTGTCTGTCTCTGGTCTTCCTGTCCTGTCTGTCTCTGGTCTTCCTGTCCTGTCTGTCTCTGGTCTTCCTGTCCTGTCTGTCTCTGGTCTTCCTGTCCTGTCTGTCTCTGATCTTCCTGTCCTGTCTGTCTCTGATCTTCCTGTCCTGTCTGTCTCTGGTCTTCCTGTCCTGTCTGTCTCTGATCTTCCTGTCCTGTCTGTCTCTGATCTTCCTGTCCTGTCTGTCTCTGGTCTTCCTGTCCTGTCTGTCTCTGGTCTTCCTGTCCTGTCTGTCTCGGGTCTTCCTGTCCTGTCTGTCTCTGATCTTCCTGCCCTGTCTGTCTCTGGTCTTCCTGCCCTGTCTGTCTCTGGTCTTCCTGTCCTGTCTGTCTCTGGTCTTCCTGTCCTGTCTGTCTCGGGTCTTCCTGTCCTGTCTGTCTCGGGTCTTCCTGTCCTGTCTGTCTCGGGTCTTCCTGCCCTGTCTGTCTCTGATCTTCCTGCCCTGTCTGTCTCTGGTCTTCCTGTCCTGTCTGTCTCTGGTCTTCCTGTCCTGTCTGTCTCTGGTCTTCCTGTCCTGTCTGTCTCTGGTCTTCCTGTCCTGTCTGTCTCGGGTCTTCCTGTCCTGTCTGTCTCGGGTCTTCCTGTCCTGTCTGTCTCTGGTCTTCCTGTCCTGTCTGTCTCTGGTCTTCCTGTCCTGTCTGTCTCTGATCTTCCTGCCCTGTCTGTCTCTGGTCTTCCTGTCCTGTCTGTCTCTGGTCTTCCTGTCCTGTCTGTCTCTGGTCTTCCTGTCCTGTCTGTCTCTGGTCTTCCTGTCCTGTCTGTCTCTGGTCTTCCTGTCCTGTCTGTCTCTGATCTTCCTGTCCTGTCTGTCTCTGATCTTCCTGTCCTGTCTGTCTCTGGTCTTCCTGTCCTGTCTGTCTCTGATCTTCCTGTCCTGTCTGTCTCTGGTCTTCCTGTCCTGTCTGTCTCTGGTCTTCCTGCCCTGTCTGTCTCTGGTCTTCCTGTCCTGTCTGTCTCTGATCTTCCTGTCCTGTCTGTCTCTGATCTTCCTGTCCTGTCTGTCTCTGATCTGTCTGTCTCTGGTCTTCCTGTCCTGTCTGTCTCTGATCTTCCTGTCCTGTCTGTCTCTGATCTTCCTGTCCTGTCTGTCTCTGATCTGTCTGTCTCTGGTCTTCCTGTCCTGTCTGTCTCTGATCTTCCTGTCCTGTCTGTCTCTGATCTTCCTGCATCTCCCAGTCCTCCAGAAAAACTCCTGCCTGCTTCCTTCTTTTTCACCTCACAAGTAACTTTTTAACTAGCAGATCAAATTGATCTATTGACCGCAAAAAAAGCGGAGTGTGCGCGGCGCTGCCCGGCTGCACCAGTGACGAGCGCTGCAGCGCGTCCACACACACGTCATGCTCAAATACAGACAGAACTTACCAGAGAGAAAATGAACGGACACGAATGACTGTGTGTTAATTATATCTTTTTTGGTGACGCCACTTAGAAACTTAGAAAATGTTACTGTGGCCGTGTGCAGAACGCAGCTGGAGCTCATGAATAATCAGCGGTCTGCCTGCCACTCTGCGTCTCTGCTCAAAAGAATCCCCGCTAGCTGAGTCCATATAAATAATATAATAAAGGTAGAAACTGGATCTTTGTGCTCATTCTGGGTGTGTAAGTTAAGGGCAACAGGGGCACCTGACAACCTTTAAGGAGAACCAAGTTGCTCTCCTGTAATTTGAACCCAGTATCCAAGTCCGGATCGGGCCTTGGATCCGAGTCCCGATCAAGTCTGAAACCACGTGATCGGGGCCGATTTCCGATCATGTAATTGGATCGGGACATCCCTACTTTTCAGAGCTGATCACACCAGCTGTCTGTGAGCAGCACCGAGCTCCCCCTCCCGGCGCGCAGCGGCCAAATAGAAACAAACGCGTCTGTCGAACTTTTACTCCATAATGTAAACTTTAATTCCTGCAGCGAAAAATGTGGCACAGAGGCAACTTGTTGAAATATGTCAACTCGGTGGACTTATTAGAAGCTTTAAAGAACAAACTCTGGACGGTGTGAGGCGAGTTTGTCTCACTGCAGAAAAAAACACACACACGGAGCGTCAGCAGTCAGACGCAGCCGCTCACCAACACTCGTGTGTGTGTGTGTGTGTGTGTGTGTGTGTGTGTGTGTGTGTGTGTGTGTGTGTGTGTGTGTGTGTGTGTGTGTGTGTGTGTGTGTGTGTGCGTCAGAAGGCTGAACAATAACCTGTAGAATAATTAAAGTCATCATGCTAGAGCAACCTCTCTGTGGTGGACCACACCAGCTTCTGCCACCATAAATAATAATAATAATAATAATAATTATTATTATTATTATAAATCACACGGAGCTGTGAACATTTTAATTTCCTTTCTGAACTATTTCTGTTGAGTTTTAACGTTTAAAATCTGTTAGATTGTTACTGACAGCAGCTACGTTTAAGTTTCACTTCCTGTTCTGCCTGAATGCTGCTGCAGCATGGAGGAGGTGTAGTTCTCAGTCATCCTGGACATGATCATCCTGAGAGTTGTAGCTGAAAACAGCTGCACGTCTCTGGATATGTTGGAGACATTTAGCCTCTCATCCCAGAGGCTTCTTCCAGACTTTGGTTGTGGTCAGAAACAAACACACTGGTTGTACTGCAAGTCTTTTTCTTTTCTCTCCAAAACATGTTTTTGTCTAAATGAAGGCGATGTTGTTGTTCATAGAATTAAAATTCATGTTGAAGTTAAGATTATTTCATCGAGTAGGACCTGTGGTTAGCTGGCTCATGTAAAATATGTCATGTCTTGAAAGAATCGGAATCGAGAATCGGTAGGAACTGGAATCGAAATGAGGAATTGGAATCGGAATCAGAATCTGAATCGTTCAAAATCAAATGATGCCCAACCTTACTCATTAGTAATCCTCTACAGAGCTCTGAGGTCTAACAGATTATTGAACCTGTCTCTGATGAAAAGACTTTCATGAGCAGTAAAATCCAGGAAAACCTGAAAAAGCGGCTCCTATTGCTGTTCAGGATACATCCCAGCTTACAGCTTGTAATGAAATATCTGGTTGGTTTAAACTCTCGCAGCAAAATTGTTGTGTTAATAACACTGAGGCAGAAGTTCTGGTTAGAGAAAGGCAGTACCTGGGTCCGATCTCCACCAGCCTCTCCTCACTGCCTTCGATGAGGTTCGGTTCCTCAGACAGCGGTTCTACCTGCAGGAGAGGACGAAACAGCCAAAGCAGAACCTCCTTCTGCTCGGCACTGAGACTCTCAGAACCTGCAAGCAAAGGGATGACTTTAAACGGGTCTGAAAGATTAACCCGCACTATTTTCTGCACTCACCCGTCAGCTCCACGTTGTAGCACAGCTCCGTCGTGACGGACAGATGAGGGCAGAGCTTAGCTGCTCTCTGTAAGGCCCGACCGTTCAGAGCTTCACTGCTGTAGAACCTCAGCACAGCCATGGCTGATCAAGACACTGGTCCGGTTCAGAGGTAGAGGTTGTATCTTTAAATAAAATAAAGCCAAATAAAATCACTAACAGACGAAAATAAACATTTCTAAAAGATTCCAGCATTTAATCAGAGGCCAAAGGCTTGAACCGATCAATTGCAGGAGGTTTTTCTTGACCTTTGTTTCTAGATTAGTTCAGGACAGATCAATTAAGAGATTCATGTAATCTCAAGAAAATGTGTTGGAGCAAGATGTAGATACTTCCATCAGTCTTATCTGACACAGTGAGAAGGGTAGCGAGTGCTTCGAGTCAGAACCCTGATGTAAAGATGTCTTCATGAGAGAACAATCAGCCTTACTACCGGACAACCGTACCACCCACAGAGGTGATGAGATCAAAGTGTTTTTTAAGCATAACGTTAAAATGCTTTTTACATATTTTCTTAGTCATTTTTGCATAAAATGCTTGAGGATGTACTGTATTTTTGACCTTATTAACTATTTTATATACACTACCGGTCAAAAGTTTTAGAACACCCTGATTTTTCCAGTTATTTCTTGCAGTTTAAGCCACTGAAGTCCAATGAATAGCTTGAAATGGTGCAAAGTTAATTGGTGAACTGCCAGAGGTTAAAAAAGGTAAGGTTACTCAAAACTGAAAAGTTATGTACATTTCAGAATTATACAAAAAGGCCTTTTTCAGGGAACACAGCTGTTCTGCAACAATGAAGGTTGATCAAGCTGGTGCTACTAACAGGTGTTCCAACTTTTCTGGATTACTTACAACCCCCTCTGTCTGCATAAAAGCAGTGTTGGAACATACTGTGGTACCATACCCTTGTGAGCATCAGTTGAACAGTACTGCAGATAATAGTGTGATACTACAAAATGGAGAGAAAACGGCAATTAACAATGGAAATGAGACAAACCAACACTTAAAAATGTAAGCCTTTCCTACAGAGAAATTGCAAAGAAAGTCACGCTGTCAGAGAATACAGTTTACTTCACCGTCAAAGGCACTCAGAAACTGGCAGCAAGAGGTCTGGCAGACCCAAAACCACAACTGCATCAGAGGACAAGTTTCTGAGCGTAAACAGCTGGCGTGATAGGCAGCTCACAGGACAACAGCTTCAAGCACAGCTTAAAGAGCAAGTCACCCCCTGCCCTACCAGAGTCTAACTCCACTCCCACTTCATGTTTGAAAAATGTAACAAATGCTGTTGCCTGGCAGACCGAGAGGGCGGAGCCGCTAACAAACACACACACAGGCTCACGACAGCATTGTGACTTCATAATGTACCAGTTTACATCATAGCATACCTCTTAGCCAATAGCGGTGGCAGATTTAAATTCAAATACAGTGCAGAGTTTTTACCTGACAACGGCGCAACACTGACAGTTTTAGGCAGAATATTTAACTTTTAACTAAGATGCACCGAAGTGCCAAATAATTGACTACACGTGTCTGCAGCACGATTAGACACTCGTTTATTTAGTTTATCAGCAAAAAAGTTTATTTGTGGGTGACTTACTCTTTAATAGTGGTCGTAGTAAGCAAGTCTCAGCTTCATCTGTGAAGAGAAGACTTCGAGCTGCAGGTTTGATAGGACAAGTTGCAGCAAGAAGTTGCAGAGGGCCCCACAGAGGAAACACTGGTATGATTAAAATAAGTAAAATGAAAATAACTAATTAATATTTATAATAATAATAGCTAATAAGGATAGTAAAACAACTAATAAAACTGATTAAAGAGATAGCAAAACACTAAAACATAAATGTCTAATACCACTAAAATGAAAATTATACAATGAATAAGTTCATTAGTAAAACAGGAAATGCTGCTAAAAACAGATGCCAGTTAAAAGCTAAGCCAAAAAGGTCTTGAGCCTGCTCTTAAAAACATGAACATAGTCTACGACCCCGAGGTCTTCCGGCAGCCTGCTCCAGAGAAGAGGGCCAAAATACTGGAAAGACGCCTCGCCATGGGTGTGCATCCTGACTTTGGGGATCACAAGGAGACGGCTGCCAGAGGAGCACAGGGGGCCGCGAGGGTTTGTAAAGTAAAAGCAGTTCCGAAAGATAGGAAGGCCCAAGACCATTAAGACACTTCAAAACCATTAAGAGAGCCATAACATCGATCCTGAGAAAACGGGGAGCCAATGCTGCAATTCTAAAAGTGGTTCAGCTGTTATATCTGCCAAAGATGTCAAGAGTTTAGAATACATTTTGGTCTATAAAGTGATTCCTTTACTTCTTTTTTAACTCTAATTACTTATTAGTGCTATACTTTCATTTCAGAGTGCAATGTGACATTTAACTGCATCATACACACACATTGTAGATGGCTCATTTTATTTCAGTGGCAACACACACACACACACACACACACACACACACACACACACACACACACACACACACACACACGTGACTGATTATTTGCCGACAGTGGGTCACACTGTATATGTACAGTCTATGGTCACACACCGTCATGAGTTTTCAGTTATTTCTTAACCACATGATGTTAGTATACTACAATCCCCTAAAACACGTGCGCGCACTGACTCGCACCTCTTTATCCTAAACACGACTAAAAAGCGTTGGCTTTAGCAGAAACAACACCATGCAAATGTCCAAATGACCTTTAAATCTCGGTATTTTGGCGTGGCACAATGGAAGTCTTTCTGTTTGGATGTGTGAGAGCTAAAAGTAGCGGAGTTAGCAGAAAGCTAACTTACGTTCAGCAGCTTGACTCGGTTAGAGCGAAAACTTCTGGTCCTTCTGCAGTCTTTTGGGAAACTTTAGATCCCGCTGTAAGAACAACAGGAGACGTTTTGTTTTTTGGGTCTGCAGATGGTCAGGGAAGGATGGACCCACAATCACACACGTGCCACTCTAACGCTCTGGCGCATGCGCAACAGGGAACGAGCATTTCAGTGATGTTCTTTCGGGATGACCATGAACGCATCACGTCAAAATGTCAAACTAGGACACAACTTGCACATATTTCTTAAAAACAAGGCTTTAATTGCGGTTTTTTTTTTTTCATTTTACTTCCGCATAACAAACAGTTTACTGTAAACACAAGTTCAATTGTACTTTCAGATTGGCATTGATTTGATCGTTTACTACTTACTTACTTTAAACCTTAAAACTTTAATGTTTATAATTTATAATTACTCTTTAAATATGTAAACCTCCATGTACCACAGTACAAGTCCTTCTCAAATTGTTAGCATATTGTGATAAAGTTCGTTATTTTCTGTAATATACTGATAAACATTAGACTTTCATATATATTAGATTCATTACGTTCAAGCCTTTTGTTTCAAATGTTGATGATTTTGGCGAACAGCTCATGAAAACCCAAAATTCCTATCTAATAAAATTAGCATATTTCATCCAAACAATAAAAGAAAAGTGTTTTCAATACAAAAAAAGTCAGCCTTCGAATAATTATGTTCAGTTATGCACTCAATACTTGGTCAGGAATCCTTTTGCAGAAATGACTGCTTCAATGTGGCGTGGCATGGAGGCAATCAGCCTGTGGCACTGCTGAGGTGTTATGGAGGCCCAGGATGCTTCGATAGCGGCCTTAAGCTCATCCAGAGTGTTGAGTCTTGCGTCTCTCAACTTTCTCTTCACAATATCCCACAGATTCTCTACGGGGTTCAGGTCAGGAGAGTTGGCAGGCCACTTGAGCACAGTAAAACCATGGTCAGTAAACAATTTACCAGTGGTTTAGGCATTGTGAGCAGGTGTCAGGTCGTGCTGAAAAATGAAATCTTCATCTCCATAAAGCTTTTCAGCAGATGGAAGCATGAAGTGCTCCAAAATCTCCTGATAGCTAGCTGCATTGACCCTGCCCTTGATAAAACACAGTGGACCAACACCAGCAGCTGACACGGCACCCCAGACCATTACTGACTGTGGGTACTTGACACTGGACTTCAGGCATTTTGGCATTTCCCTCTGCCCAGTCTTCCTCCAGACTCTGGTACCTTGATTTCCAAATGACATGCAAAATTTGCTTTCCTCCGAAAAAAGTACCTTGGACCACTGAGCAACAGTCCAGTGCTGCTTCTCTGTAGCCCAGGTCATGCGCTTCTGCTGCTGTTTCTGGTTCAAAAGTTGCTTGACCTGGGGAATGTGGCACCTGTAGCCCATTTCCTGCACACGCCTGTACACAGTGGCTCTGGGTGTTTCTAATCCAGACTCAGTCCACTGCTTCCGCAGGTCCCCCAAGGTCTGGAATCGGTCCTTCTCCACAATCTTCCTCCGGGTCCGGTCACCTCTTCTCATTGTGCAGCGTTTTCTGCCACACTTTCTCCTTCCCACAGACTTCCCACTGAGGTGCCTTGATACAGCACTCTGGGAACAGCCTATTCGTTCAGAAATGTCTTTCTGTGTCTTACCCTCTTGCTTGAGGGTGTCAATGATGGCCTTCTGGACAGCAGTCAGGTCGGCAGTCTTACCCATGATTGCTGTTTTGAGTAATGAACCAGGCTGGGAGTTTTTAAAAGCCTCAGGAATCTTTTACAGATGTTTAGAGCTAATCAGTTGATTCAGATGATTAGGTTAATAGCTCGTTTAGAGAATCTTTTCATGATATGCTAATTTTTTTAGATAGTAATTTGGGGTTTTCATGAGCTGTACACCAAAATCATCAATATTAGAAACAATAAAAGGCTTGAACTACTTCAATTGTGTGTAATGAATCTATTAAATATGAAAGTCTAATGTTTATCAGTACATTACAGAAAATAATGAACTTCATCACAATATGCTAATTTTTTGAGAAGGACCTGTATTTAATAGCCCAATTTAGACATGTCGATCTTATTTTGGATTGCTTTTCATTCTTATTGCAATTTTTTTAATTCATTGTCGTTTTTCTTTCCCTTTAACTCCTTCATTGCCAAGGGAAATACAAAAACTCATCGTAACTTTGAGCCATGTAGAAATGTTATCTGATCTACAAAAGACTAGACATACCTGTGTGTTTTTACTTTTTTTTTTGAGAATTTTAAAGCAGCATTCACTGTTTGATTTAGAGTTTTTAGGTTGTGATAATAAAAGAAATGATGACTTTAGCATTTTAAAACACAACAGACAAGTTGATAAAAATTTTTGTTCATTAACTCATCAAACATCTGCAGGAGCAGGAGTCTTTGATGGAGCTAACCAAACAAAACTATCAAAACCTCTGCAAGCCCCCTCATCTTTTGTTTAAAAATATTCTCAGTCCATCGGTCCCAGCGTGCTCTCTATAATTAATGCTTCACTTGTCTCTGGTCAGGACCCTGCTTACTTTAAGAACGCTGTGATCCACCCGCTTCTTAAAAACCCAGTCTTTTCATTCTTATTGCAATTTTTTTTATTCATTGTCGTTTTTCTTTCCCTTTAACTCCTTCATTGCCAAGGGAAATACAAAAAAATATCTGCTATCCTTCATCTCCAAGATCTTGGAAAAGGTTGTGGCTTAACAACTCACAGCTGCTCTTGATGAACATAACATCTCATATTTCCTGTCAGGTTTTCATAGCTCATTCTGCTGAAACAGCTCTTCTTAGGGTCTCTAATGACCTTCTGACCCACAGTGATACAGAGGTCTGTTCTGGTCCTGCTGGACCTGACTGCAGCCTCAAGTACCATCAGACATTGGTAATCTTTTCAGTTCCTACACCCCCAGCAGGTCCGAGGTCCAGCAGCTGAAAACTCATTCAGTTTGACTTTGGTGACTTTTCCTCTTCTTCCTCACCATCTTCTCTTCATGCTGCTGTTTCTGCCAATTCTGCCTTTCTCAGGATCCTGCGACATGTAACTTTTTTTTCAATATTTCAAGTCCTCCCTCCCCCCCTCTTTTTTATTATATGTTTTAATTTGTTTTAAAGTGCCTTGTGATTTTTTTTCTCAAGGCGCTATGAAAAAAATCTTCTGACAAAATGATTCCCACCACACAGAAGACATCAGGCACTGCAGTCTTGGATATATTTAATAAATTAAAGCCAAGGTACAAAAAACCCACTGTACATTTCATTCCTCCCACCCCTCCTCCACCCACGACTCCTTAATTAAACTGTGACTAACTGCTCATTTTCTCTCTTCAGACGGAGAACACTACCAGGTTTAGTGCTGAACATCAGTTTGTATCAGACTGAAGTGTACCAGCTCACTTCAGACTTGAATATATTCTGATTCCCCGCTTTGCATCTGTCCCGAAACCCCACCTCCCCACTCCAAAACACGTACATGCTACATATCTGCAGGCACCTCGGAGAAGACAGAAGGATTAGACTGAGATAAAGTTTGATCAGAAACCACAAAGTACACTTCAGTACAGAACGTTATTAAATATCAGCTGGTCCTGCTGACTCATGAGATCGTGCACTTTTCAGCCCTCCCATCACTTCACCAGTAACAGCTCAGGCTGGGGTCTTACATGTTCCAACTCCATTTCCAATCCTCCTTGGTCCTGTCCAAGGCAGTGACCCAGAAGGGTAAGTTTCTGGGTAGCTTGTTCACAATAATTGTGTTAATAAAAGGTTGATGGGATGAGTCTGGTAAATGACCAGCCGGCTGATGAAGAGGAGGTATTGCTGTCTGCAAGTGAAATGCTAGATGTTCCAGGTCAGTCCTAGAAGAGCAAAGCCTGAGTGACAGGAGGAAATGATGCATTTGTAATCTAGGTCCGATATAAGTGCACTGAACAAGTGGGAGAAGATACATTTGTGCAAACACAAGTTCTCACACATACAGGTATGAACACAAGCATACAGTCAAATACACTAAAGTGTTCATGAATAACTGTTAATATTCACAACTGGTATAATATTTTTGCACGGTTACAGTGACTAAGCAGTCCACCGTCAGGATAATGAATCCGTATAAAGGCCTCATTTCCTTCTTCACCCTGCCACTAGGATCCGTTTGCTCTCCTACCTAGAGTCATGCTTCGCTTTGGAGACCACTGTGTTTCAAACTGGAGACTGCAGTATGACTGGGTGGGATTTATGTACATGAGGTACAGCCCCACAAACATGGGCCTAGGTGAGGAGTTTTACTGTATTCAGTCCACTTTCTCCACTCACACCTCCTAGAAGGCTTTTATTAAAAGAAACAAAAGAAATTTCATAATTTGGCAAATGCTGAAATCACAGAGGCATGAGCAGGAGTAAATAATAGTAATGTTACTTCTCCTGCAGAATCTCCACTCAACATGGCTCCTTCTCTTCTCCTTAGCAGCAGGACTGAAACGGTCTGTGTGTATATACATATATATTTATATAAGTAACGTGATGCACTTGGTAAAATAATGTCAAGCAGCTACGTACAATAACACCAGCATTTATATAGATGCTAATCACCAGCAAACAAATCTAGGAACCACGCAGAGATCAGGAAAGCCGTAATAAGCCGTAGATAGGAGGCGTGAAGCAGCAGGCTGGTGGTGCTGCTCAGCTAAAGGATCTGTGAAGAGAGGAGAGGAGGAGCGGGGTGAAGAGGCTGCCCTCTCCAGAGCCTGCTGGCTGGGAGCTAAAGCTTGTCTGTTGATCTGATGGCAGGTTTTTGCTGGAGTGATTCCATGTCTTCTCCTGCGACTGGATGGATTTTCATTACAATCATTCTGTGGTGTCTTTTTGGGGATGGAGAGAACTTTGTTGCTGTGGCATCCAGCTGTTTTGCACTGAGGACAAAGGTCACAGTTAGGCGGGAGCTCAGGGAGCCAGTTTCAGTATTCGGCAGCGTACTCGGTACCATGGAGACCTCTGCACAATAATGTGAACTCCTTCACTATGTCCTTCACCCTCCTCTTGTTCACCCGCTCTCTGCAGGACAGAAAATACACCACAAATCCCATTGGGTACATGAAGAAAACAAAAACATTTATGTTCATAAGTCCCATCAAACATCCGTCTGTGTTACCGGAGGATCTGCTGTGAAAAGTTGTCTTTCTGCTCAGTTGTGACGCGTGACGACGGGAATCCTGGAGGCTGGAGTGCTTCTTTCAGCCACACGGCGAGAAGAGAGAAGCAGTTCTTATTTAGACTGAACAGCACTTCTGCAAACTGGTCCATCAGATTCCGAGATGCCCCGCCCCCAATACCCTGCAAACATGGAATCAGGTTTTGTTTTCGGTCAGTCAGCCGTGTTTCAGTATGACAGCGTGAACACTTTAAGTGAAAAGTTGCAAAATGTGCTTGTTGGTCATCAGGTCAGCAATATCGTTTTCACCTGTGCGTTCATTTCAAGTTTAGCTGTTGGTCAGATTGTAATGAAAATCTCAGAAAGTAATCATGATCATTAGGTTTCAGTCAACCCAATTCAAGATGGCTGCCATCGCTAATTAAACTTACCAAACGCAAAACTGGCTCTAACTCAGTCTGACACTCATCTTCAATAAGAACACATTTGATTGATCGCCTAGCCCTAATCTGACGTGAATGATGCCTAGCTACCATCACAACACACACCGACAGACCATATTTTTAGGAACTGACCAAATTGGCTACAACACCGTTACTTTTCTATATAATGTTGTCTCATTTTAATATTATGCGTATTAAAACTCTGTCTGTAATGTCAGCATCTTTTCCACAGCAAACATCTCTAAGTCTAACTTCAGTGAAGTGCTTCCGTTTAATTCAGTTTACATCATTTGTTAAAACTAATTTGAGCTATTTGGAGCAAGATGACCTTTTCAAAGGAAGGCAGCTTTATTTTATTTATTTAGGAAACCTTTGACTCTTTCAAGAGACAATGTGTAGTTTCTACCATTACTTTTTGGAAATATCCATCAAAATGTTGTTGAAAATGAATGAAATGATGCCCAGCTGTTGAAAAATACTGGCAGCTTCATAGCATAACCATAAAAATCAGGTCTAAAATACATAGGAGCAGGTCCAAGTCTCTGGACGACGCCATATTAGATGCCATGTTTCCTCCAACGGGAGCTCATGAGGACAAAATGCATTTACGGATTTGTAACAAACGCTTGCTAAACATTCGTCATTCTTAAATGTTGTCGTTTTACACATTTACCTCTTCACTTGTTGCCAGTGATGAAAGGGAGTCTGATGCGCTAGCTATTTTGCTAAAGTTTGCACTCCCAGAACTTTTTGACCCTAATGGGCATCCATTGGTAAGGTCTTACTCCAAAACAAAATATTGCTTGCTTGCAACAATTTAGGTATGGACTGCCCTCTGTTGCCAGAAAAAATACACATCATCACTTTAAAAACTGTTACATCTCTCTTAAAGCACAGTCCAACCGCGTACAAAAGCTGTGGCAACAGAACGCGAGTCTGAACGTCGAGGAGATCAAGAACGTAAAAGTGGCTAATGCTTTGACGACAGCATGCTGATGAACTTGTTCACGTCCTGCACGTGAACAGGACTTTACAGAGAGAGGAAGCACGGTTTTGGAGGATGTGCGGTGGGAGACGTCATGTAGAAGTTCTCACCTCCAGAACAGCTTGTACCAGCAGCTTGCCATCTTCCTGCATCACCCTGGCTAATGGAGGCACATCTGAGCAGTGGGGCAACAGTTCAGTCTGTAACACACACACAGTCAGCTAAATCTGGAGCTAAAAGGAAGGGCTCTGCCAGTGTGTGTGTACTTACAAAGAACAAACACGTTGACTTGACAGTTGGAGCCTCAGGAAATTTGAGTGACAGTATTCCTAGAGATGGAAGAGAGAACGAGACCAATTGAGGGCTGATGTCAAACATTTTTGGTTTTTACTTTACTTTGATTTCACAGAAATACCAAAAATGTTTGTGTAAATCTTTGCGCTTACCACAGTGGAACACAGCCTTCACATCAAGGCTCTCAGACAAGAATAAATCGGGTTTCCGTTTGAGGCCCTATGAGGCAGATAAAGGCAATGAACATCTTGTATCTGTTGGCCTGACCCAATCGGTACTGTCTCACCACATTCCACTGCATAAGCTCCTTGAAACTACTGCTATCAACAAAACCCACTATGCCTGGTAGGCAGATCTGACAGCAGCAGAGAAGCAGATCTGCCTACCAGGCTACAGTGCTCTCTCCATCTGTTCAGGATCAACTTTATCCAAACACGCAGAGATCCTCCAGTGCAGAACTGAGCAGGTATAACAAACAAATTGTAAAGAAAATAAATTAAAAAAATCAAACTTGGAAATCATTTCAAACTGAAGTTCAACTAAAGGCAAATGTGCTCTTTCTTCAACTTAATTGTATTTGAAATATTACTTTTCCTCGTTTTTGTCGACTGGACAGAATAAACAACAGAAGTGTGTACGTAATTAACATGTGCAGATAAAGAGAAAGACAACTCATCTCATAATAATAAACTCATTCAGGATGGAGGAGAGGAGAGAGGGAGAGGGAAAGGGAGAGAGATGAAGATCAGATCTATCCAAAGATAGAAAACAAAGGAAGAATGAAGACAAAAGACAAAAAAAAAAGAGCCATCAGCCAATTTGTTCAAGCTGATTAATATTAAGTGAATATTAATTCATTTGGGCGTTGATTGGCTCTGGGCTGGAATGACTTCTGAGGAGGACTAGGCTCAGAGACTAACCAGTCACCTGGGACCATGGAGCCGACATTCACACAGCTGCTTCACCTTCTGAGTGGGCAGACGACTGAAACGTTTCACTAAAAACCGAGCGCCTGACTCAAACCGAAACCACCTTTAGCTCCAAATATTTATCAGCCAACACTATTTACTCTGTCTCAGTGTCTGATTCACAAACAAATAAACACTTATGATGCGCTAGTGAAAAACGCGGCAATCACATCTAGCAGGTGTGAGTCATTTGTGCTCATTTTAGCATCAAACTGATGTTGCCCTAACAGAACATCCGCCACAAACGCAGCAGGCATGCAAATGGAAGCTAAAAGGAGAAAAATAAAGTTCACCTATTGTGAGGCTCTAAAAAAGGAGCCAGCCTATATCACAGCTCAATGAAACAACGGTGTTCAGGATGCTAAAGGTCACCCAATCCAGTCCTGTAAGGCTTCTAGCTTTTAGACAGTTGCTGCTCCAACGCCCCCGACTTAAACGATTCAATTATCTCCTCAGAAGGATAAGTCCGAGAGAAGCCCGTTAATAACCTATTGATTTGAATAAGGGGGGGAACAGCCCTTGAAGACTGGATTTGGGGACCGCTTCAGTCTCAGAGCTTGTAGCATCATTTTGTCTTTAGTGTTAATCGCCACTGCACTAACTAGGGAAATGCCACAATTAATACTTTGTTGACTGTCACTGGGCCATTTCGAAGTGTGTATCTGTGTAAAAATGTAAAATAATTACAAATTCACGCACGGAGAACAGCTTCCTGAATTTCCTCATTTCAGAGAAATAAAGTTTAGGTCTTACAGGATTGATGAGCTAACAGCTAGTCCATTTGGAGTGAAGACCAGTGTATTTCTGTCATCTTAATACAGCTGTAGTCTACAGAACATCACATGTGTTTATGCTGTTTATGGTAAATGGCTTGTATTTGTATAGCGCCTTCTTAAGGTTTCTACAACCCCCCAAGGCGCTTTACAACACAATCAGTCATTCACCCATTCACACACTGGTGATACGAGCTATGATGTAGCCACAGCTACCCTGGGGCGCACTGACAGAGGCGAGGCCTGCCGAACGCCGGTCCCTCCGACCACCACCAGCAGGCAAGGTGGGTTAAGTGTCTGGCCCAAGGGAACAACAGCAGCACTCGCTGGTTGGAGCCGGGATCAAACCTACAACCTTCCTATTACTGGACAACTTGCTCTACCTTCTGAGTTACTGCTGTCTCAAAGTTTAATAAAACTTCACCAAGATGTCTGTTATGCATCGTTCGATGTTTTACAAGGATTTCTGTGATTTTAATTTTATTTTAATGTAAATACCAGAAGCTGCAGACGTAGCACTTATGGTGAATCCAGGTATTCGTTTCTTAACACTTCAGCCAAATTAACTCTAATAATAAGCTGGTAATGTGCTTATAAAATCACTCCGCATGGACTGCTATAGACATGGAGAATGTCTTTTTAAAAGGACATCACTTTGCTCATGGCTGTGCACAGACTAGTTGTTAGCTCATCAGTCCTATAGTTTTTTTCAGCAAACAGACCAGCCACAAAGTGATCTACAACAGGTAAGGTAGTCCGTATTCATACGTTTTACACAGAAACACGTTAAAATTAACAAAATTAATCTCTCACATAAGATCTAGGCACAAGATGTGAGTGAAACAACCAGCTCTGGCTGTAATTTATATCAATGTGAGTGGGGTTGTTTTCGTCCTTCATGAACGCATCGAATATATTTGAAATCTGGACAAACGGTCTACAGCACAGCTCGAGTTGCACACCTCCCTTTGTGAATTAGATGGATGTCTGTCAGGCCCTGAGCACACTGTTGCTGTCTCATCAGGAGAAATGGTATCCCAACGTTCTTACAGACGTAACGGTGACGATTTATGGTGGATTTTAAGTTTATTTGCTGTTAGAGTACATGCTAATCTTCCATTTTTAAAGAAGCACAAATAAACAATTGCACTGCTCTTTGTGATGACTCAGCACGTTGCTAAGCCCTTTTCTAAAATTAGACTTCTCTGATGGCTGTAATGTTTGAGAGAACGCCTGCAGACGGCTACTTTATCCAGTAACAAAGACGTGTAGAAAGAAATAAGTGGTCAGAGAGACAGAGAGAAACTAGAAAAGGAGGAAAAAGAGAGAAACCCAAAGTGAATGAAATAAGAAACCAAAAACACACCTGAGCTTGGAGTTGCATAAATGAATCAACAATATCAGGATGATCCCTGGGTCCTATAATATAATAAAGATGAAACTTAAGAAATCATAAAAGAGAATAAGAATAATATACAAACAGCAACTTAATAGATTCAACAGTCATGTGGAAATAAAAGAGAACTAAAAATATTTCATTGAAATAATTTTACACGTGAGTAAGGAACAAAGGGGAGGGCTGGGACATATGAAGCTTTGGCAGAGTCTTGGAGGAGGAGACCAACCAAAAACAAATAACAGGCAGAAGACAGAGACATGGGTCTGTTTGGAAGGAAATCAAAAGAAAATAAAGGAAGAAGAAACGAGAGGAACAGAAGAAACCTTCAAAGCAAAAGGTGGGTTTGGAGTGGGAACCCAGGAGGCACCTCTGTTACTGTTACAGCATGGAGGACTAGAGGCACCAAACCCTCCGTTACCTCCTCCCCAAGCAAAACATTAAAAAAAAGCCCCCGAGAGGAAGGCCACTGTAAATAGTTCATTCAGCATATTTGCACAGGTTCCTACTGTTCATCATTTACTCTTTCATAACAGACACAGGCTACAGAGACATTACATGTATCCTACAATGCAAATAATTTAACATTAGACACACATCTTCTTTGTGAGCCTCTTAAAGGAAGAATCCACAGATAAATTCTCAATGTCTTGGTTCATCTTGTTAGTTTAGGGGTGACAAAGACCAACAAGAGGCTTTCAATGAAACATGGTAAATAATAATGACCCCGTTCAGACCTGAGTCCAACAAGCATCCTGAGGGATCTGGTCACTAAATACAGGTTCAAATCATAGACAGTAGAAAGCTGGGTCTGGCATGTCGCTCTTTGTCTGTTTCTGCAAAGTGAAGCAGTTTACAAGAGTTGGCATGTTGCATTTCTGAAAGCAGAGTTTAAGTAATAGAGATGAGAAGCTGAAAGTTCCGCCCCCTTGAGTCAGCCGTCTGAGTGTAGTTTTGTTCCCATGCCAGCTCCGTGAAAGTGGGTGCACCCTGAATAGGTGCGAGCACCCGTGGAATTCGGGTGGTGGCGGTTGTGGTGGTTGTGGTTGAGTGGGGGCCGCCATTTTTACTTAGGATCAGCAAACAGTGTTGGGTAACTTGTATGCTCCACAGAAATGCAACTCAGCACAAAAGTGGTGGTGTTTCTGGACATTTTAATCAGTTTTACGGCTTTTTGTCTGACTTTAAACCAGGAAATGGCTGCAGGCAGTGAAACAGAAAGTGGAAAACTTCAGAGCAACCAGTGACTCCATCCCCTAACCAATCAGCGAGCAGAATCACGATGCCGCCCGACTCAGCCTTGCCAGGTCCCTCAACGGGGCAGGGACTAAAAATAGGTGAGAAAGTAGAGGGCAAATGATGAACCGTGCCCGGGAGCTGGAATCATTCCCACAATCCGCCCATCATGAGGCTACCTGCTCTACCTCCTAAGCTACCGCAGCATGTTTAAACATGCAGCAGTTAGGTAAGAACTGGTAATCAACAAAATTCAGAACCTACAAAAAAATAACCCTTTTATATCGTTTAATCTAGGAAAGCGAAACCTCACTGCTACATGTTTAAATGTGCGTTTTCAACTGCTGATTGATTTTAAATCATTTAGTGTGAATAAGTATAAATGTAATGAGTAACCTAATTTTGCTAAAAATAAATAAATAAGCGTGGGTAAGTCTGGAAGTGAGTTCAGATAATGTTTGCTCAGACTGCTGATGAGGCTATTTGTGTGAAGCAGGCTGCATGTAGAATAGCAGCTAAGAGTAACAGATGTGATTTGATGCATGTTAGTGTCAGGTCTGAATGGGGCCTATGATGATCATCCAGCTGTGTCTGCTCGCAGACTCCAAACAGAAGGACCCCTCCAATCTGTACAGCACCATCTCTTGAGACAGCACACGGCCGGTTCAGTGCTGTGATGGAAAGCCGGACTAATCCCAGCTGAGCCCATTGAGCTGGTAGCCTGACCAGCCAGCCCCATGCTTCCTAATGGGAAGCATTAGTTCTCTGTGTAGAATTAAACAGAGGAGAGTCTGGCAGGCCGGGATATTCAGCTGGGGCTCCATGCTAAGACAAATGTCAGCCAGGTAAAAACGCTGGTAGTCTCTATTGCTTTATAGTTTGAACTGAGGGGACCTGCTCAGAAAAAGAACGTTTAAGAGGCAGGGGGAGAGGAAGCCATTTTTTAAACAAGTCAAAGCACAAAGAGAAGGAAAAAGGGGGACAACACAAAGGGAAGGGAAGCATTAGACAGACCTTGAGTGAATGAGATCCTCATTAATACCTATTAAATGTTCTCCGATCTTAAGACACCTTTATAAAACTGAGTTTCATACGATGATGCTACAGCTGCAATTTTCTTTGCTACTATGTCAATAAAATAATAAAAAAACAAAATGAATGAATAAAAAAGTATCGAGCAAAAGTTAGAACAAATGGCTAAATGTTGTCATTTGTTTACAACAAATCAGTAGTGTAAAAACGGTAAACGAACTTCGTCTTCGTCTTCCTCCGCTTATCCGGGTCCGGGTCGCGGGGGCAGCATCCCAATTAGGGAGCTCCAGGCCATCCTCTCCCCGGCCTTGTCCACCAGCTCCTCCGGCAGGACCCCAAGGCGTTCCCGGACCAGATTGGAGATGTAACCTCTCCAACGTGTCCTGGGTCGACCCGGGGGCCTTCTGCCGGCAGGACATGCCCGAAACACCTCCCCGGGGAGGCGTCCAGGAGGCATCCTGACCAGATGCCCAAACCACCTCAACTGGCTCCTTTCGATCCGGAGGAGCAGCGGTTCTACTCCGACCGCGAACCTACCCAGCAAGAGCTGAAGGTCAGAGCTGGATGAAGCTAGGAGGACCACATCATCTGCAAAAAGCAGAGACGAGATTCTCCTGCCACCAAACTCGACACACTCCACACCACGGCTGCGTCTAGAAATTCTGTCCATAAAAGTGATGAACAGAACCGGTGACAAAGGGCAGCCCTGGCGGAGTCCAACCCTCACTGGGAACAGGTCCGACTTACTACCGGCTATGCGGACCAAACTCACGCTCCTCTGGTAAAGGGACTGAATGGCCCTTAGCAGAAAGCCACCCACCCCATACTCCTGGAGCGTCCCCCACAGGATGCCCCTGGGGACACGGTCATAAGCCTTCTCCAAATCCACAAAGCACATGTGGATTGGTTGGGCAAACTCCCATGCCCCCTCCATCACCCTTGCAAGGGTATAGAGCTGGTCCACAGTTCCACGGCCAGGACGAAAACCACATTGCTCCTCCTCTATCTGAGATTCAACTATCGATCGGACCCTCCTCTCCAGTACCTTGGCGTAGACCTTTCCAGGGAGGCTGAGGAGTGTGATCCCCCTATAGTTGGAACACACCCTCAGGTCACCCTTCTTAAAGATGGGGACCACCACCCCGGTCTGCCACTCCCTAGGAACTGCCCCCGATGACCACGCAATGTTGTAGAGACGTGTCAACCATGACAGCCCTACAACATCCATAGCCTTGAGATACCCAGGACGAACCTCATCCGCCCCCGGGGCTCCGCCGCTGTGTAGTTGTTTGACTACCTCAGCAACTTCTGCCCCCGAGATCGGACAGTCCATCCCCAGGCCTCCCAGCTCTGGTTCCTCCTCGGAATGCGCGTAAACGAACATCAAGTGTAAAAAAAGGTCTGCACTGATTAAATCCTTTTTATAAGTTAATGTTAGGCTTTGCATATGCTCTAACATTCGTTTGTGGTTTTATTTGCAACTAAATTTGCACCCGAGAGGTGAGGGCCGGATTTCTTGTGCCTAGCTCTATCGCAGAAGTGTTGTCAGCGTTGAAGAAGGATGTGTTATCTAACAACATGGGTCAACTTATTAAAGACCAAGTTCATTCATTTTTCTGTACGTTTGCAGTGGTCTCTAGTATAATAAATGCATTGTGAGTTGATCTCTGTGGGGCAAAAGCTCTGGCACTCCTGTTTCAGGAAGTGGAAGAGAGCCAGAGGAAAGGCGAGCAGAAGTGTTGTGGAGTTGCTATCGCTAACAGTTAGCTTCTACTAGATGAGACGTGCTCTACTGTTTTCTGGACGCTACACCAACTACAGCCTTCCCCGTCACAAGCCATAATTTTCAGTGTTAGATTTGACCGACTTCTCTAATCCTAAAGTTTCCCTGTCTGTTCTCTTTTGGCGGCTAATTAAAGTTTCATTAGTCATCACACATTAGTGTAGTCATCTCTTGACCCATCCCCGTTGGGAGCGGCGAGCTTCAGCTGTGGCCGCGCTCAAGAACTATATGGAGTTTTAATGCAGGAAATAAGAGTAGAAGACCGTTTTCACATTCTGCCTTTCATAGTTCTTCATGTTGTTTTCCTTAGTTTTTTTTTTTTTGCTTTGTTATTTTGACTGTAGAAAAGGTGCCACATGTTCTCATTGTTTTGTCAACTGGACACATTCTAGGCCTAATCTTCTCCTCACCTCTTGAGCTAATAACAAAAATGTGTTTTAATGTAAACAGAGTGAATTGAAATGCACATAAATGTAGAAGTGTATTTACTAAAAAGTGTTTTCTTAGATGTGAGACAAGCAGCACAACTTAAATATGTATCTGGTAATTTACTAGATTTGATATCTGCCGTGTCTCCTGTTTCAAAAAGAATCAAGGGTGTGTGTGTGTGTGTGTGTGTGTGTGTGTCAAAAAATCTTGTCAAACATTTTCCATCACTTGCACCAAGGTTAAACAGTTTGAGTCATTTTTAACAATATATCAAGTAAAAAATATATAAATAAATAACATTTCTACTGAAAACAGGACAAATGTGTTTTCTCATACTTTAACAATTTTGCACCACCAAGATCAGACTTCGGACCCAAGTGGAATCAAACAAACATTTTTCACTTGAACAGACACCGACACTCCCATCTCTGTTGAACCCCTACCTTGCTGGAAGACGGACAACGTTACCGAGGTAACCAGCTCAAACAGAGCCTTGATTGGTGGGAAGTGGTCTGTTTCACTGGCAAAGATATGCACCATCTGAAAACAGCAGGTTTTCACAAAAGGTTTAAGGAAGCAGGTTTCCACAGCAGCACATCTACTTCAATTTGGCTTATTATGTAGGTTTAACTAGATAATCAAGGCTTCATAGTGAAGGTATCACTCATTAAAATGTTACTCTGACAGGTATAAAAATTCTGAGTACAGACCTCTTGCATGTTATTGTTTACATCCAGGTAATAACGCACCTGCGCTCAGTGCTGAGAGGCACTTATTTAATCAGGTTACAAAGGCATACTAATATACATGTGGGGCAGATACTTGACTTTTTAATTCTGTCATGAGATTTTGGCTTCCACCATGTGGATGGATCATCCACCAGATCTCTCTTCATGGCTGCTAACAACTGCTTTTGGCATGTTTTATCAGAATATGTTAATATTTACTTTAACGTCCTTCTTTCGTCTACCTGTGCAGCCTACAGCTTTAGCGATGCGTCAATGATGACGACTCGATTCAGAATAATTGTTGACATCTTATCCGGTAGACCACGCATCACGCCCACTTGTTGCAACCCCGGGGGTTCGTAAATACAGGAGGGTTCTACCGGCTTTCCCTCCAGTTTGCTCTCTACTCTGCCTGCAGAAACAATGTGCGGAACGATGTCCGCTACCAGATTCTCTTCCATCAACTTCCAGGGTCAAAGGTGCTGCTCCATCGCTATTGCAGATGAAGGAAACCACCGGGATTAGCGCTTTTCCCTTCATAAGCGAGCTTCTTGCAGACGTTCGAGGAGAGTTGTTTTTGTGGCAGCAGTCTCTCCTCCATGCTGCTCTGATTGCTGGGTCTTTAAGGTTTATTTAAACTTTATAACTTGAGTTTAACATTGATTGATGAACATTTATCAACTTGAGATTGGTTTAACCACCAAGTTTTGAGTTTGTACCTTTTGAAATCCTTATTTTGGTCTTTAAGAACCTACATGCAACTATTGCATCAGGGTTCATATGGGCCAGGCCACATGGGGTATATGACCTAACTGCAAAGAAATGAGACTGTTTGCAGGTTAGTGAAATTCTTTAGGAGTTTATAAATTAAAGGAGTTTAGAATGTATGTTGACTGATTAGGTTATTCAATGGAGTCACTTTATTTGACTTTGGTAATAAAATGTAAATATTTTATAGGGAGAACAAAACCTTTAAAATAGGTATTGTGGGGATTCCTGTGGATAATTAAAATTCTAGCTTTGAGTCATACTGTTAATTATTTTCATTTTTCATTTTGATTTCATGGTTAGCTCATTAATTTACACGTTACTTTCACAAACAAAACCCTAAAATCTCGTTACGGTACCATACAGTATGTGTAGTTGCACAAGTTAGGAGTGTACCTGTCGCGTGAGGTCAAGCGCTGAGGCCTGGGGAATTGTACTGTACATCTGCCCGAGCATCTCACTAAGCTGAGACACCATGGGAGCAAAATCATGCAGGAGAGTCTTTACTGACTTCTCAAAGATGGCACACACCGCCTAAGGACACCAAAAAGATTAGCCACAAGAGAATACCGACTACACACACAGTGGTAAAGAAGAGATGGACTGGGACGGCGTACCTCGACAACCTGCGAGTCGTTGAGCCACTTGCTCAGTACGGTCTGAATAAGAGCAAAAACTTGTTGCAAAACCACCACCACCTGAAACACAAATACAAAATTCTCATTTAAATAATAATAATAATAACACATCGAACTTACGTAGTGCTTTTAGGACACCTAAAGACGTTTTTATGCACGCTCACAGTCACACACTGCTAGTGATGGTAAGCTACTATGTAGCCACAGCCACCGTGGGGCAGTCTGACAGAGACGAGGCTGCCGTTTGGCGCCGTCGGCCCCTCTGACCACCACCACCAACACAGGCAAGTTGGGTGAAGTGTCTTGCCCAAAGACACAACAGCAGAATACCCCTGGCGGGAGCTGGAATCGAGCCCATGACCCTCCTCATGATCATGAGGCAACCCGCTCTACCTCCTGAGCTACTGCTGTAATAAACAACTGTTAAAAACTGAACATGAGCCGGAAAGACCACAGAGACATTTACAGAATAATTATGGTTGAGTGGCAGACTAAAGTTTTCCTTCTGCCTCCAGCCAGTGATGGTAAATGTGATCAGTGTTGGGGAAAGCAGAGGGTGAAATTCTGGGAAACCGAACTCAGGCAACTCTAAGAATCACGTCTTTTCATTTCTACTAAACTGGAGCAAACTGTGTTAAAATAAAACATTAGTTTATACCTAGTACCAACATGTACCCTCTATAACTTTGCCTTATCACAGACGACTATCATATATTACAAAAGTAGGATGAAGATGGGGTGTGGTGACCAACCGGATTTGGTCCAGGAGGAGGTGGGACTGCTTTGACTGGCGGCGCTGAGCCATCTGCTGATTCATCATCTTGCTTGCTAATGTCGAGTGTAGTGAACAGGTTGGACAGCAGCCCCAGGATGTGAATGATGGCCAGTTTATTAGAGGGATTAGGCTGAAACAAGAAAAGAGAGAAACAGATGACGTCTGATTAACTTGTTTACAACCAAACACTCAACTCATGTCAGAAAGAGACATTTTACTCCTGAACAAGTTAATCATAGATGGAAGGTCGACAATCAAAGGCAATAATATGTAGGATGTAGTGCTGACAAAAATTCTATTACAAAGAATATATCAATATTAAACTGGGTTAGGGTTTACCCTCCACACGCCATTTCCTAAGTCGGGTTTTGTAGGTTTATATTCTGAGAATCATGAAGATTCTGGTTATTAAACAGCAAATAAACTCAGTAAAGATGGGCATTAACAAGGACTCATCAGTAAAACCTCCGTGAATTATTCATAATAATAAAAAAAGTAATGAGTTAAAAAAGGAGGTAAAGATCATCAGGAAATGAGGAGGATATTCTTTTTGGTCTGAACAAGAAAACAGTTATTAGTGGACAACACTTTGTCCCCAAAATAGCAACAGATCCTTGACAACAGACACATGTATCCTAAAGATAAAACAATTACTTTGATGCTAACGTTTAATCATTGCTGTCTCCATAGTGATAGAACATGAACGCCCAAAAAGAGAACGTGGACGTTGCTGCCACACCCCCTGATAGCTCCATCCTTTCCTCTTCCTCAGATGCATGTCTCCCCCACACTCACACACTGCTCCCCATCAGCCCTGATGAGGAACAACACAGAGGTCTTCCCACTAGGTGCCACTGTTTAGCTAGCTCCAGAATCAGCACTTGACTGCATTGCCTGACGTAATGCTGTGACATTAAGCTGCGTGGAAGACAACATGTGAGGGAGAAAGTTGGACCAGACTGTGTGGAGGGTGGGGAAGTAAGACAGGAACAAAGAGAGAAATTAAAGCTTAGTATCTCTGTTCCTCTGTGCCAGGGGTTTAACCGATGTGAGTAAAAAGCAAATATCAAAGTATTTTTAGATCAGCCCTGCTCTGTATTCACACATCGCAGCAGAAGAGTAAATATCTGAGCTCTGATAGGTGTGACATTTCAGCAAAGTGAAGAATTTTCTTTTTGAAGACAAACAAAATCACAAGGTGGAGAAACATGAACAAATAGCTTTTGTTTTTACTTCATTAACGAGTGAGAAGGTGAATCTTTGCTGCTTCCATGTGAGTCACTTGCCCACGGTGCAGGCGGGGTCAAAACCAATCTGGTCCTGCAGAGAAATGTTCCACTGCAGCAACACCATACAGGCACCAGCTCTGATCCTTTTGGCCAAGGTCCAACTGTTCCTGCTCTGTGTGTGTGTGTGTGTGTGTGTGTGTGTGCGTGCACGTGTGTGTGTGTTGCTTTTCTCTAGCTGTGTGTACTGACCGTCTCATCTGCTAGCTTTTCCAGTTGCTGAATGTAAGGAGTGATGAGGGAATGAAGGTTTCTTAAGATGTCCTCCACGGGGAGAGCCGAAAGCAGGAAGCCAAGAGCCTGCATCAGCCACATACACTGACTTGTCTGTGGGAGGAGACACAGGTTTAGCTTCAACTTAGGAGCTGAAAGTCAATAAATACTTCTAATTAAAACAAACTGCAGCCTGTAAACACATGATGTTATTTTTAGATTTCCTTTCTTCTGAGCTGTCAGAGTGAAGACAACAAACACAAACCTTATGGATCTGCTTGATGAGCACCTCCTAGAAAAACAAGAGAGTCATCGTGAAGGCAGAATAAAGACAAAGGAAAGAAACTTTAAACAAACACAGCCGAGTTATTTCTGGAACATTATACACATCCACAACACCTCAGATGTGAAACGTGATGAAGAGGCACTTGTGTTATAAACTGCTTCCACGCTTGTTTTAAACGACGTACCTGAGAAACTGCTACTATGTTGGTTGCGTACGGTGGCAGGTCGTGTTTGCATTCCCGGCAGATTTTCTTTAAGGTTGAGACAGAAGAAACGGAAAGGTCGGGGTTTCCTAATGCTTGCAACACCAAAGGCAGCACACTGCTGAGCATCACTGGGTGATCGGCCAACCATTCAGCCAGAGCCCCTACACAGACAGCAGCGATTCAAACACAGAGCAAAAACCGTTAGCTACTGTCCATCACAAAGTTTTGATCACATTTCCCCCTTACCTATAGTGAACATCACAGTGTCGGCTAACTGGACATTGTTGATGTTGATTCTGGGGATGAGTCCTATCAAGCCAGGAATGACGTCAGAATAGTTCACGTCTATCGTCTCTGCTATGGACTGGAAGCCGTACAGCAATGCTTCTGTGTGCTGGAGGACAAGAACAGGCTGAGACTTCAAATCTCATTTCCTCTAGCTTGTATTGATTTGAAGTGGAGTGCTGAATTTTTTCGGTGCAGGCGTCTCTGTGAGACAGGAAGAAATAGAAAATAGCAGCAATAATTCTTTCCTCGTCTGCGTGCTTCACCCACCTGCCATGATGTCAGCTGCTCTGTGTTCGTCAACAGTCGCCCTAGTTTATCGTACAGGTTACTCAGCAGCTCCGCTCCCAGCATCTCGTACACATACATGAGCGTGTCGGAGATGTCCACCCTGAAGGACGGACAAACACAAACAGATGCTTCAGTGGCACGAAATCATGACATCTTATCAGTTCATCCATCCCACAGACACGTTTTGCTTGCTCAGCTGTCAGTTCAGTAAGAGTCCATTAGAGAGAAGAACAGACTCATTTTCTGACCAATCAGCCTGTCAGGGAGTCATTTCTGATACACTGAACAGTCAGTGAAACACAGCAGAACACGTGTTAACAGAGACGGACATGAATACAAATGCACAAACAAGCACCGGTAAATCCTGAACTGCTCCTTTTCATCAGAGGACCAGGATGCATACTCCTGGTCAGAGGGGAACTGGGCTTTGTGCAGCAGAACGTCCACCAGCTGGAAATACACTGGCCTGTAGACCTGGAGATACACCGCCTGTTTATCGGTCTCGAATGACATGATCTCATCCTGTAAATGGAGAAAACATCACCACAAATACTTCATTTGCATTTTGAAGGAAACGAGAATGTGCATTTACATGTGAAAACAATTCAGTAACGAATTATTTACTAAAGAAAGTAAAAACATTTATCAGGAATTCTTTTATTTATTTTTTTAGCATTAGGATGTCAGTTTACAGACAAAACAAAGCCTGTCCCAGCACACCAAGTAGCAGGTTGATTTAAGATGTGAACAATTCTTACTTGTAGTGTGTACCAGAAGGTAAGTGTGAGGGAGCTTGTGGTCTCGTTGACCGGATAGTGGCCGGGGATGCCCGTACAAAACATGATCAAGTTTACTAAAGCCAGGAAGCTCTGCCAGTGATCCACCTGCTCCAACAGAGTCCTGTGGGTACAGAAATAAGAGCAGTAGAAAGAAGAATGTGATTTTATTTTATATAAACTATCTATTCAGCTGTCTGATTCCTGAGGTTTGGACTGGATATAGGGATTTAAAAACAGACAAGGAGGAGGACTGACTTCCACGGGAACAACCTGCCTCTACAAGTCAAACAGCCTTCCCCCTAGTTTAAATTGGCACTGAAAACCCATCTCTTGGTCTTGGCTTTTAACACAATATGAGATGTTGATTTTAGGTGTTTCTTAGCATTTTACCTCATTATTGGATTGCTTTTACCCATCTTATATTGGGCTGTTGTATGCCGTTTGTCTATTTTATTCTCATTTTAAACTGGATGATTGTTGATTTTAGTATTTTGGCTCACTCCTGTGATGTTAGAATCCATGCTTAAGGCTGTTACACGTGTTTTATATTTTAAATTGTATGTATGACATCACTGACTTTGACTTATGACTTGTACTTTATTTCAAATGTAAAAAAAAACATTTTTTATACAACACAACTCAACACAAAAGCAATCAAATATTTAAGTCCGAAAAGGAGCAGTTAGAAGTAAAACTTGTACATTCCTACCCCCTTCTCACTTATTCTTATTCAACCTATCTCAAAAACAAAATTTAATTTGTATGTATGACATCATTCAAATTTTGTTCATAGCATATATTAATGTGAAGTACTTTGGCCCTCTATTATGTTTTAAAGTGTTTTATAAATTAAGTTGGACTGGAGAGAATCAACTACCTGAGCAGTGATGAATTCCTCTAAAGCCAATCCCAGTGTGGTTACATGTGCACCGACCGACAGGTCGGTCTTGTTGTAATAAGCTGGGAGTCTTTACCCTAGTTTACATGCGCATTAGAAAACCGGTCTCTCAAATAAAGCTTGTTCTACTCCGGTACAGTAGTTGGTGGCATGCCCCTTTTCATGTCGGCGTTTTTCCAGTTAGCTCATAGCAACACAAGCAGTAAACAGAGGCTGGTGGGAGTGAAGCAGATGGAATTGAAACAGGATATGCACAATGGCTGAAGGAATTGACAACAGCAACGCTGCAGCACAGCTTATTTGGTACCTACGGTCATGCTTTATGGTGTTACACGTGTTGCTTTGTAACAATGGTCTTCTCAGAAGCCCTCTTCCGCAGTCCCATCATTTCCGTAGCGGGAGCGTCCTACCGGTTTAGTTCGGCTGACCGGTTGACAAGCAGAATGTATTCAGAGTCTGCATGAATGTTCAGACATAATGGTGTCCATATGTGCTCTTGGCACCAGGATACCTTAGACTGCAGCTCGATGATCGACTGTCGTTGTTTCGTCTGATCTGCATGTTTTAGACACTCGGGTGGAGAGGGCGGAGCTGTCAACTGACCACTACCTGGTGGTGAAATGGCTCCGATGGCCCACCGGAGGAGTAAGGTCTAGCTGCAGACGCAGCCCCGGCCAAACACGCCCCATGTACAAAACACGCGTGCACGTACGAAGACGAGAACTCGCATGCGTGTTGCAAGAGATTGAAATGACGGTTCATGTAAGACAGATTTATATTTTTACAACTTGTGAAGATTTTGTACTTTAAATTTGAACGTTTAAGACATAGTTTGATAGATAGCGCATTCGTAATTTTTTCTGAAACACTTTTATATAAAATTAAGCATTATTGGCAGTGGGGGAAGACGTCATGGACGCAAAATATTTTTTATATAACTTTTAATGGGCTACATGCAAGCCTTTTGGCCAACCGTAACAATACGCTATTTATTTGACCGTTTATGACTCCTCATCTAATAAGCAGCAAACTCACGACGGCAATGTGGTAGCCCGGAGGTATTCTACAAACACAGGAACAGTGCTAATGCCTATATGTATTGTTTTCACACTGTTTATGACAGCCTCTAGGTGTGAATGTCATTTTTACTAATTGCTATTTATCTTTGTCTCATTAGTGAGAGGCAGCTGATGTCCTATGCCATGGAACTGCTCATATACTCGGAAAAATTCAGAAAAGCTCTGGGCTGATCTGAATTTTTGAAGAGGCTGTAGCACTGTGTGGACATTTTTTTGGAAGGTATTTGTAAAGCCAATAAAAGTTGTTGCTGGTAGATTAATTTGTCTGAACTTTTTTTCTAAAGCAAAACTTTTCTACTTTTGTGTTTACAGTATATTTTTTAAAGATTAGTGTATGGTCAATATCAGTTTACTAGTCTTGTGAATTGTATACTTAATTCAAAATATTTTAGTAATTTCTAAATCAATACATTTTGTGTCAAAGGGCCAGCAATTATTCCTGTTAACAGAATATATGAAATACATGTATACACATGTAAATATGCCTAAAAATTACACATCAGCAGCTTTTCACTGTAAAGAAGCAATAAAAAATCATAAATAATAACATAAATATTAACTACTCACTCGTATGAACTTAGACCCACTGTTAGTGCCTGTAATAACAAATGGTTGAAAGTTAAATGTTGCTGTAGGAGGCGTGCTCCCAAAAATGGAGGCTAGTGGGCTTACGGGGTTAATTAAAACGATTACCACTAATGACTTTTTCTGATATTGTGCCTATTGTCCGGCAACTGATCATTTGTTGGTGGTATCTGTGTTTTATAATCTCACTGGGGATGGCCATAAAGTGTGTATGCAAGAAAATAAATCCATACATTCATATTTAAACCTGGAGTCCTGTCTGTTTAATTACATTATTACTATTTCTGTATAAACGTATTCTTTCAATTGTGTTGTTCGCTGGGAGGGCCGCCGTTATTGAGCTCGGGGGTAGCTCAACAGGGGGGCGTGTTTGGAGAGGGTCTGCAGCTAGGTATTATTGCACCGGAGGGTGCCGGTCAGACCTGGCACGCCCGCCCCGCCCCATAGACTTGCATTAATTTTTTCGTTCTTCCGGGGACCCATGAGCCGACCGAAAAGGGAGGAGACTTAAGCTCTCTATGGAGCTAAAAACGCTGTTTTCTAATCCGCTTTACCTTACGCCCTGGATCGCACATTTGTTGTACTTCAATTTAAATTTAAAGTAATGATATGTGTTTCGACCACGCCAGTCACGTACTTTGACATTTCTCATCTTGTAAAATTTCATAATTAGCAGGACTACAAATCAGACGTCGGTACATCGCATTTATGACATCACCACAGAATGTCTTCTCTCCTAGCATAGCTGCTACTTACCACATGACCAGAATTATGGTGGTTCTTTCCTCCTGAAGGAAAGATTTGAAGTTTGCTAACTTACAGCCATTTGACCTCTTTTTTTCTCCTTTTCTGGTTAAATGGTGTCACTTTTGTGAAGCGCATTTGTAGTCCTGGACTTATTTTCACACAAAACCTAAAATAACGTAATGTAACGCCCAGGACACGTTGGAGGGGCTATGTCTCTCACCTGGCCAGGGAGCGCCTTGGGATTCCCATGGAAGAGCTGGCCCAAGTGAAGCCTGGGCTTCTTGAGTTACGCTGCTGCCCCCGCGACCCGACTCCAGATAAGCGGAAGAAAATGGATGGATGGATGACAGCGGCTACATTTAAGTTTCAGTTTCCCTTTAACTGAATCGTTGCTGCAGCATCTAGGTGTAGATTCTCAGTCACTCTGAAAGTTTTAGTTGAAAACATCTGGACATTTTTGGTCATCTTGAAAAATGATTTGCCTCATCCTAGATGCCTCTTCAGTTCCCATACTTTGGTTGTGGTCAGAAACAAATACACTGATTGTGCTGCAAGTCTGTGTTTCTTGCTTTCTTAAAACATGTTTTTAAATGAAGGTGATGTTATTGCTCATAGAACTAAAATTCATGTGGAAGTTCAGATTATTTCATCAAGTAAGGCCCGTGATTAGCTGGCTCATTTAAAACTTGTAACATTTTTGGACCCTGCTTCCTAAAAGAATCAGAATCGATAAGAACCGGAATTGAAATGAAGAATTGGAATTTGAATCGTTCAAATTCAAATGATGCCCAACCCTAGCACTGACTGACATATTTTGTTTAAAACACACACACACACACACACACACACACACACACACACACACACACACACACCTGGAGTGGTTCTCTCCCAGCGTGACGGCGATCCGGCAGATCCCATGGCAGGTCTCCATGTCTCCATTCTGAACAGCGTCTCTCAGCTGATCCTGCAGGGCCAGCACTCGAGGAACGAGTTTCAGTAAAGTGTTCACATATCTAGAAACCAGAAGACACACAAACACAGTATTTAAGAACCAATTACATTAAAAACAGTCTGGTTTAAAAGTTAAACAGAGGAGACTACATGGTGGGTATAAAACTGACTGATATGACTCACAGCTAGGTTGATGTGTTTATTTTTCCTTTATTTCAAGTCAATCCAACCTCTGATCCAGCACACCCACCCAAATAATCCCACATTTATTCCAGGGAACCAGAAAATCTACTCAAAACTTCATCTTGTAGCTACGCTGCTGTCAGTTACTATTCTGTCTCCTTGCTGCTGTCTCAGCCGTTTATAATTCCCCTCACTCCGGATAAAACACGTGCACACAGGCTGACACCGACTCCCACAGTTAGACAGACACAGCTCTTTATCTGCAAAGGTGGCGGCATTAGACATTACTCCTCCTGTCATCTATGATGCCAGCAAAAGAAGAGCATTTGGAGATGAAGGACAGAGGTTGTGTTTTCTGAATCTAACAGAGGACGGGCTCTTGTGAGAATGCTATACGTGTTAGCTACATTATGTGTCCCAGGGAGCTTTGCGGTACACAGGATGTGCTTCATCTTTCAAATTCAAATTCAAAAATACTTTATTAATCCCAGAGGGAAATTAGAGTTTCAGTACACACAATTCTGAGATCAGACATAGACACATGACATGAATTGGTGACTGTGGTCATTCTCAACCTGAGTCGCGCTACCGTAATAGATCTAGAGGTTTTATATGAGGATAGTCGGGGGGAGGGGGAAAAAGGCACTTCAGAGTTACCCTCCACAGAGAGGGCAGCTTTGCTCTGGAAAAACACCTCAGACAGATAAGCACACAGACTTCAGACATTACACAACATAAGTGTCCACTAGGTGGGGAGGTAGGGTTGGGACTCTCCTCACTTCAGTGCATGCAGCCGCATGGAGCAGCGCTCATCACCTCCGTTTGGACAGGGGAGGGAGATAATGGGTTAGAGGGCACAGTGACTCCTAGATATGGCTCCACGGCCTTCACCGGTCACAGTCCCGCCCAGGCTGGGATAGGGACGTTTCAGAAGAATGTCAGTGCTGACGCTGGCCAGGGTGGATGTTATCAATGACACAGCAAGGTTGTGGGACTTTGGGAGCATTTATAAAGACATGCGAAACACAAAAGCTTCTCCAACCTGAAATAATTAAAACAAACCAACAATTCTTCTTAAAAGTTTAATTTGTTTAAATGAAATATTCAATCATAAAAACTGAAAGATTTGTTTAAAAATTGTTTAAAAAAAATTGTACTATTTTCAAGATTCTACTTTTGAAAAGAACGTCCTTAATAGAACAAAACCAAGCAGGCGAAGGAAAATGTACTGTCGTGAGAAACTTCTCCTCTGAAATGCTAAATGCAAAGCAGACCTAGAAGCGTTTATTGTTCTAATTTCCCAGTGGTCCTATTATAAGTCAAGGTGCCTTTTATATGGACTTGCAATTTGAAGTTCCCAGATCAGCAGGGCAAGCAGATTCCACATTCTCAGGAGAAGGCTTTGCCCTTTTCAGACACAATGTGTATGAAACCCGGAGCTTCTACTGGACAAAGTCCTCCGTTAGTAACTGTAAAGTGCTGCCAGCAAATGCTCTTCTATTCACCAACTGAGAGGCTAAGCTGGGGTGTGTGTGTGTGTGTGTGTGTGTGTGTGTGTGTGTGTGTGTGTGTGTGTGTGTGTGCACTAACACACCATACAGATCATTTATTTTTAATAAGGTGCCTTTCAGATGCAGGTCATCCACTCAAAGCTGAGGGGGGGAATAGTTTGTGATGCGATTAAAAGACCAGAATGGTTTTGTACATTTTTCCAATCTTGCCTCATAAAAGATGACATTCTGTAGATTCTACTGAGACCATCTGCTGCAGACCCATTACTCATCATCTCCGTTTCTTGCTTCCACACTGGTAAACGCCAACTCCTTTTAAGTCTCCCATACTGTCTCCTTCTCATTACACCTTCTCCCTCCCCCTTATGTCCCTCTCCCCACCTCTGCTCCCCTCTCTGCAATTACTGCAACGCTGTGAGACAGGGGAAATGGGTTGCCTGGCAACAGGATGCAGCTGGACCAATAGCATTTCCCCAAATGAGTTGACTATAATGTGTTTAAACAGGGAGAGAGAACAGGAGACAGGGAGGAGGGCCGAGTGCTGATGGTGAGGGATCAGAGCACAAAGAACCAGGAAGACTGGGATAAAAAATAAACCAGAAAACAAAAGGAACAGGTGACTCTAGAGAATTAAATAAATATGGCTTTGGTGACTAAGAAAGATCTTGTGCCTGGCACAAACTATTGATCTTTTCCCTTCCCACTGAACACAGGAGAGCAGCAGTATCGGAGTTCCCCAAAGGCACCAGAACAGCAGCCAAAGCCAGACTAGCAGATGCCAGCAAACCCCCCTAGAACCACAGAGCTAAATCCATCAGGAAAGATGCTCTAAAGACAAGAAACAGCATTTTAATGTAGAAAATGAGGAAAGAGTCATGTAAGGAATACGCAACTGGCCACGAAATCAATAACTTTCCTACTGTGCTGAGCGGAGAGAGGATGTGTTTACTGTAACTCCACTGCCCTTAATGTTCCTGCCAACATCTGCTCGATGTGATGTCATCGTGTTTAAACTGACTTGTCAGCAGCAACCTTAAAGGTCGAGCTCCCCGTCTGTGTGTGAGCGCGGAGGTAGAAAAAATCAAGTCTTTTATTCTAGAGCACTTCCCCTCCCATGTCTGCCTCCTTCCCTAGGCATCCTTTCCGCTCTTTGCACCATCCCTCCACTCCACTCCACCCTCCCCAACCCAATCCGTCTCTAGGGGAGGAGTAATGGGTGCCGGTCTGAATCAACCGGGGCATGATGACATCTCTCCCCAGCTCTGTAGCCATAGCAACACCAGCCAACCGAGAAACGCCGCTCTCCTCCCCGGTTTACAACTTGCCCTGTTTCAATCCGTCCTTCTATCCTCTCGGCCATCCTTCCACCCATCTCTGGTGTCCATCCAGTGCCCGTCCTGCCCGTTTTCACAATGTTGCGGCTGCTTCGTCATTCCTCTAAATTCCAACGTAGTTACTTGTTTAGATTCTGTTTCTCTGCTTAAAAATAAAATAAGGTTTGAAATCATGGTGACATCATGGCTCTTAGTTGGCGACTCCAACCAGGCAAGCAGACAACAGACGATGCACACACCTTTGGGAATCTGGTTGCGAGATGGCGTTTACTATTGCCTCTACCGCTGTGTCGAAGAGTTCTGGGTCGGGGAGGGCAGTGAAGCAGTCGTGCACCAGGCCTTCACTCTCGCTGAGCGGCACGTCCAGCAGCATCCATGATGACAGGCAGCGCAGCACGCGAGCTTTCACTGCCCCTGGGCTATCCGTCCTTTGAAGCAGTTGTTGCAGTAAGGGACAGACTGACCCCCACTCCCTTCCCAGGGCTCCCCGGACCTTGACACAGAACCATAACAGTAATGCTCCCATGTTGCTGTTTTAGGCATACCTATGCTGATAATACAAAAACTGAAATTATTCATTCATTCGGAATTTAAAAATACTTAATATAAAATAATGTTAATCTAATTTGCTCTAGCAAAGGCAGAGTACCCCAGTACGGAAGAGGATTAGAGCCACTGAAAAGAAAAAAATTCAAATGACTTTAATCTCAGAATTCTGACTTTATTCATTCTGAGATTAAAGTCAGAATTCTCTTTCTTTTCTTTTCGGTGGCCCTAATCCTCTTCCGTACCTCAATGCAATGCAGCTGTATTAATAAACATCTGAAATATCAATGAAAAATGAATTGGAAAGTTCTAATGAACAGAAATAAAGAAATATGAAGAACAAAGACATCTGTACATATGAAACAAATGCATAGACAGGTGGAGACGTACCAGTCCTTTGCGGTACTGTGGCAGGCGGCTGGTTTGGAACTCTTCGGGCAGGACAGTGAGCAGCTCCAGCAATGCCAGGCACCGTGCCCGCCCATCTACCCCTCCCCCTTCCTCCTGAAACACCCGCACCATTTCTGCCACGGCGCCGGGCCAGGCCTCGGGCATTGTGTTGAGTGCCAACGAGGCCAGGCCCACACATAGCCGCGTGAGCACCATCTTAGAGCCGGAGGAGAAGCGAGCAATCTGGGAGAACAACTGGCTCTTCAGGGACTCATACTGGTCTGTGGGAATATCAGACCAGTACCTAGAGATTTTGGTGTGTAGGGCACTAGCGCCAAAGTACTGAATCTCTGGTACCTGTAAGAGGAAACAAGATAAATCTGAAATGAAAAAATAAATTTTTGCAGTGTGTGTGTGTGTGTGTGTGTAATGTGTGTTCCAACTACCTTGTCTGGACTCAGTAAGACCCAGCAGAACTGCCAGGCTTGAGGAGAGACTTGGGCTTGCATCAGCCATTTCTGGGCCAGATTCTTGTTTTCGATATTGGGATCATAATACAACTGGTGGAGGGCCTGCAAATGAAAAAGAAGCAACAAACAAAATTATTAGTTTTCAAATTCAAACTGAACCAACAAAGTCCTTGAGAGAAATGTCAGCAATGACACTCCACTCAGTTTGCCTAAACAGGCCAGCTGAGAAAAAAACCTCTTCTTTTCAGCTCTGACTTGTTACAAAGGGCTGATTACCCTGAATAAAAGCAAATATTATACAGATAACTCCTAAAACATAAGCTAAGTGGAAAGCATTGAACTCAAAACAGCCACACTGTGAAGCAGTAATTTAGAAACTTGAAGTCAGACTCTAATCATCTTTTTTAACCCTTTTAAACAGTTGCCAGTGGTCTTTAAACTATGATGGTTATGCTGTTTTTAGCAAAAATCACTAAACCTGTCCCGTTTTCTAGTACTTTGTTTCTACAGAATGACAGCAGCTCATTAAAATTTCACCTCTGGGTTGTGGGCGGAGCCGTTGGCACAGAGGACAGGGACACGCCAGTAAGACACCTGACCTACAGACAGGGGTCCCGGGTTCAAATCCAGGCTGGGCCAGATTTCTTCTAATTACTTTAGAAAGTCAGACCGAGCTCACTCACACACAAGCCGGTCAGAGAGGACAAAGCAGCGCCGTGCTGCAGGCGGAGGAGAGAATCAAGACAGGTGGAGTAAAGGAGCTCAGACTAGTGGCGGACGTAACACTCACCATCATCAGGAAGTGTGTTTGCTCATTCAGGGTAAAAACATAGACCATTATATTTTGCTGCTTAGCAGTCACCCACCTGCTCTGTCTGCCGCTCTGAGCTCCTCTTTCACTCCAGGTCCCATCGTGGTTGAAAAACAGTTCCAAAATGAAAGTTAAACCGACGTCTATTCTGGCTGTGAATTGAACATTTGGTTATTTTGGATGGGGTAATTGTTTTAGATTTTTTTTCTTCTCTTTTATTTTATTTTATTTAGTGTGATATAACAACACAACACACAAGAAACAAATATTATGTAAGAAGGGGTAGGGATGTATATAAGTTTATACTTCAGCCTACTCCCTTACCAACAAATTCATGATGGACAGTAAATTCAGATGGATATGCCTGTTAGAAAAAAAAATTTAATTAAATGAAAATAAAACGTCTTTCCGAGCATCTCACTTGGAAGTTTAATGACCGCCAGTGGGAGTCTAATTACTGTATTACTGTACAATAATACAGTACACCAGTAATATGTATTACTGCTTCACTGTAAAAAAAAAAAAAAAAAAAAGACAAGTAAGCCAGTATCTCATATGGTCCAGCCTGATTCGAACCCGAGTCCCCAGCGTGTGAACTATCCATCTGACATTTGAAAATGTCTTCTCTACTAGTGGAGTTTGTGCTCCGCCCAGTGGTTTTGTGACGTAACAAAGTCGATACGTTTTAGACTGAATTCTTTTGCCTGCTACTGATTCACAATGATTTGAATGCAGAAATACTCAGAAATGTAATTTTGAGCCTAAATTTATTTAGATATGTCCTGCAGCATAAACAAGGGACTCACAAATATGTTATAAAGAGAAAAAACACTATTTTTGTTGGAGTGGGTCATTGTGTAAAACCAAAACAAGTAGAAAAGCTAAAGAGGAATACATAAAGATAAAGTATGACCATGAGAGAAGGAAATGGAAGAGCGGAAAAGAAAACAACTAAATTAATTTTATGCTGGCAAAGCAAGAAAAATGTCTCTAAAATACCTTTGTCTCTTTATCTGACACACACAGATGTGGCTACATGGTAGCTCATCCCAAACAGAGTGTGAATGATTTATTGTGTTGTGAAAGGTTGTAGAACCCTAAGAGGCAGCAGTAGCCCAAGATGTTGAGCGGGTTGTCCAGTAGTCGGAAGGTTGCAGGTTTGATCCTGGCTCCGGACAGAGAATTCTGCTGTTGTGTCCTTGAGCAGGACACTTAACACATTGCCTGCTGGTGGTGGTCGGAGGGACCGGTGGCGCCTGTGCTTGGCAGCCTCGCCTCTGTCAGTGCGCCCCAGGGCAGCTGTAGCTACACTGTAGCTCATCACCACCAGGATGTGAATGGATGAATGAGAGTAAAGCGCTTTGGAGTCCTTAGACTCTGAAAGGTGCTATAAGTGTCGGTCATTCATCAAGAAGTTGCTATACAAATACAGGCCATCAACCACTTTACGCACGCACGCACACACACACACGCACACACGCACACACGCACACACGCACACACACACACACACACACACACACACACACACAAACACACACACACACACACACTAAAGTCCCATAGACCGAGCTTCTGATGCTTCAGATTTAGCCCTGCAGGTCTGTCACACTAATTCCTCCATCACCAATCACTTCATCCTATCCATCCAGCCTCCCTCTTCCAGCCTAAACTCTCCATCTCATCCAAGCCCTCAAACTTTTCCTTATCCTCTCATCTGAAAATTAAATGTCTTCTTAAAAAGGAGAGATTTTAAGATTTCAAGATTTGTCTGGGGAGGAGGGGGGAAACCCAGGATAAGATACGCCACATTACAGCTCCCAAAGGATAAAGGAGGATGCGGCCTCCCAAACCTCCTAAAATATTACTATGCAGCCCAGATTCGCGGAGTTCCTCTTTGGTGTAATCCACACTACAAAGCGGGTTGGAAAGAAATAGAATTGGGAGGGGAGATACTCCCCCTTCAGAGTATGATTACAAATAAACAAGGACTAAAGAACAGTGGGAACACCCTAGATTCTATAACTAAACATACATTAAAACACGGTTCTCAGTAATTGGGAAATACAATCTAGATATGGAGGTACAAATTCTAAATTGGCTGGATAATGATCAAAAATTTATACCAGGGTTAATGGACAGGAACTTTAAGAGGTGGAGAAACAAAGACATTTCAGCATTATGCACAATAATGGAGAAAGAGAAATTTAAAAATTAGCAAAAAAATCAAGAACAAATATGGAATACCAGACACAGACTATTTTATGTACTTACAAATTAAAGATTACTTTGACAAAAAGATAAGACCAGGACTACCTCCAAAACTGAATAAGGTTACAGAAGCAATGTGCAATGCATACAAGGGAAAATCAGAAAAAACTGTCTCATTACTATATCAAGGGTTGGGGGGGGAGAAGGGAACGTCATCTTTGTATGTTCACGATAGGTGGGTTAAGGAAAGTGGAACATGGGTGAGTCACGATGAATGGTGGAACATTTGTGAAGTCCAGAAGTCATCATCTAGTTCAAAGATGTGGAGAATGTTCTGCTGGAAAAATATGATTAAATTCTTTATAACCCCATCGATGCAAAACAAATATTCTAGTATTCAACAAATTTGTTGGAGGAAATGTGGAAAGGAAACAGGTAATCATTATCATATGCTTTGGGACTGTGCTAAATTAAAGAAGTATTGGAAAGATACAGAAAGTACAATAGGGGGGATGTTAGGCTACAAGACACCTTTGACATTTGGAAAGTACTATTTATGCAATCTGACAAATGAAGACTTACAATATGAAGACAGATACCTGGTCAAAATCTTATTAGCAGCTTCAAGGAAGGGGATAACAAGGAAATGGAGGAAGGAAGAACCACCAACGGTGAAGATCTGGGAGGACATTTTGAAGGAGATATACAGCATGGAAAGATTGACTTACAAACTGAAACTGAAACAGGAGGAACTGAAGGAAAAATGGGAAAAATGGACAACATTCTATACACGAGGACACCACTAACTAATGGACACAACTGGCCACACTGGAGAAGGAAAAAAAAGGAGTGAAACCTCACTGACACCCCAGTTCTGGGAATTGTATGTTGTTGTTATTGTTGTTCTTGAAAATAATAAAAAATGAGTTTAAAAAAACAAGGAGAGATTTTAAACTGATGGGGGCAATGATAAAACTGCAGCTGGGAGAGGAGTATCAGGTGGGATTCTACATCCTCCAGAGAAAGTATCAGTCTCCTGTGATTGGGCAAAACACTGAACATGGCTGACTGTTAATGAGCTAACTGTCTGCAGAGAACCAGGTATCACTTCACAATAACAGCCACAGGTCCTGGTGCAGTATGTGGAGCAGAACCAGACTGTTAACATGCCTGAAGCTTTTACTTATTCATTGCTGGCAGGTCTCTGCTCAAATAAACACTACCTCCATTTGATGCATTATGAGGGAAACACACAATAATACTCAACTTTGATTAGATTTTCTTAAAAGGCAACAATTGACGTGGACAAAATTTTATAACAGAACTCACAGAATCTAAATGTGTAGGTGAGCTGAGGTTTGGTAGGGTCTTTCTGAGGATAATTATCATGGCTTCACTCAAAAGCCTAGCCACCCAGCTTCTCCTTGCCCTTTGTCTAAAACCAATGTCTGATTTTAAAGTTCAAAGCAGCAGTGTTTCATTAATGCTGTTCACTGTCAATATGCAGACCTCTCCTTCCTCACCAACAGTTGTGTGTCTCTTTGAGGTTCATTATTAAAGACCAAGACACACCAGCCAGTTCTTTTTGCTCGTTAATCTTTTTATGAAAAATCATTGACTGGTAGAGCTACTACTAGCTACTTCAGCCATCATTTACACAAATTCTGCCTGTCTGTTGGTTTACACAGCAAGCACAAATGTGCTTAGAAAAAGAAACAATACTATTTTAGGCTCCCGTGACTTTCAGCTCATTTCAGCAGACTTTTGTACTGGTATTTATTACATTGGATGAAAATGATGTTTAAAGAAGCCATCAGTCAGGAAGCCATCGTTTATAAATATAGATCATTATACTCTACTAAATTTAGCCACACAACAAGCACACACTGCTAAATAAAAGGGCGTGTATTGCTTGAAGTAATGTGCTTCATACTTGAGTTTAAACTAGTATTGTATGTTGAGGAATTATAAATTTTTAGCCATTTTTGATTCATCCTAATCATCAACATCATAAATTATTTTATGTACTTTTGTAAGACCTTTAGCATTCTGTTAGCAGTAGAAGTTTTTGAAAGACTTT